ACTGTGCAGCTCTGCAACTGCATCCTGGACCATCCTCACCCTTCTGCCCCCAACCCTCACCTCCTTGTACCCCCAATATGTTTTTCCCAATTAAAAAATATTTAAAAAAAGACATTAAAAAAATATAAATAAGATAAAAAAAACCCCGAGAACCAATGAGGTAGATGATTAGGCATTATTGTCATGACAGGATCCAGAATGAAGGCTGCATAGTGGAGTGGACTTGGGGGGAGGGATTGCATAGCAATGAAAGAGTTTTTCCTTTACTTTTCAAGGAAAAGAGTGAATTTGGGTTGGGCAGGGAGAAAAGTGCAACAATGAATGACTGGAAACCCTAAGTCTCTGTAAACTTTCATTAAAATGAATTTTTTAAAAAAGGGACCCAATTGCCATTTGTAATAGACCAGGAGCCAGGGCCCGCTCACCATGTCCGTGTCCCTCACCATGTCCGTGTCCTTCACCGTGTCCATGTCCCTCACCATGTCCGTGTCCCTCACCACGTTGATGGCATTGTGTTGGTGTCACTCACCCTGTTAGTGTCACCACATCGGCGTCATCACCACCTTGGTGGCCCACCCTGCTGGTGTCACTCACCATGTTGGCATCACTGTAGTGAAGGAGTGTTTCCTGCCGTCCGTTGTAGACAAGGATCAGGATGGGATGCACCAGGTAGCAGGCGTAACTGATGCTGGCTGGCAGGGTCCACCCGGGCCAAGAGAGCACCCGGTCCACCAGCCCTGGGGAGACAGTCCATGACATCATAACCTACCCCCACCCCAGACTGGGAATTCACGGGTGTCTCCACAACATCCTTGGGATTCTGGATGTGAGGCCATGACACTTCCCTAAGGGGATCTTCATCCATCATAATTCTTAATAGAACAAAAGATTCTTCCTACAGCAAGAACATGATACTCCTTAGAATCAAAGAGGGGGAGACCTCAGCTCACTTACTTTGGAAGGGTCAGTTACAAGGACATTATCATGGATTGATTGACTTGTGTCCCCCTCAGAATATGTGCATGTAATGATGTCATGTGAAAGCTATGTAACGATTTCTCATGATCCAATAAACCAAAGAGTTGTGAAAGGATTAAGGGTGGAATGCAATAGCCCTCAACCTCATCACCACTGTCATCTGATGTGAAAGGAGTTCCTGTAAAGCATTCCCCATAACACTGAGTATCCCAGTAGAGATAAACGGTCAGGAGAGCTGAGGTCGCCACCATCAGCAGTGAGCTGCCAGGAGTGGAGTGTGTCTTTGAACATGGGCTCCTGCAAGAGGAAGCTCTCAGACCAGGGCAGACCAGGGCGTGTAGTGATCTTCAAGGAACGCCTGGCCTCCAGATGCTGAGAGAATCAAGGACTTTCCTCCAGAACAGCAGAGAAAGCAGACCTTCCCCTGGAGCCTGTGTCTTGAATTTGCAAGAGAATAAGTCTGTTGGTTAAAACCGTCCTCTTGTGCTATCCCTGTTACAGCAGCTCGATAGCACTATGACCAACATCTAATTAGCAGAAAGTCAGTGAAAACAAGGGAGATTCTGGAAGAGATGAATTGGCACAGCAGCTCCAAGAGTGGACTAAAACCTACTCAAAGGATTATGAAGAGAGCACAGGAGTGGACGACATTCAGTTCTGTTTTACCTGAGGTCAGCAAGGGTCAGAGGCAACTCTGACAGCCAGTAAGAACCACCATCACCAAAGGACGAGTCCTTTCTGTCCACATTGTCATGTAGGAACCATGTCAAATAGGAACCAACTCACAGCTGACCCTCCAGGGGGTTTGCACAGATTGAAAATCTGGAGGAGGAGACTGCCCTGAGTTCTCCCTCAAAGCAGCTGGTGGACTCAAAGCACCTGCCTTTGCAGCGGGTATTTAGAGCAAGTAAATCACACAGGTAAGACTTTCCATCTTCCTCTTGTAGAACAGCTGGTGGATTGAAACCGCTTGCCTCTGGATTGGCAGTGCAGCTTTTGACCACAAGGCCACCAGAGAGATCCACCTGCTTTGTACCAGCCTGTCGGGGAGGCTTTCTCTCTCCTTGTCTCCTTTCTACCTTTGTGGGCACAGAGTTCCCTGAAGATATAGCTTGTCCTCAAGCTTCGCCTGGGCCTGGGGAGGGGGGTCCTTAGCCCTTGTCGATGCTCTTTCATAGCACAAAAGAAAAGATACAATCCAGTCCCTTGAATGGCATCCTGCACTCATTTAACATAGCTGTCACTCATCTTGCCACGTTCACATCACAGAAATTAAGGTTTACAACACAGAGGGTAATTATAGCAGATCACAGAAGGGAGAATGTTTGCACAATAATGAGAATCATAGCCCAGTCACACCGACACACTGATGGTTCAACCCAACAGCATTGCTTCACCAACCACCCCAGTAACACAACCTCCCTCTCAGCACACTGGGAGTGGACACTTGTCACTTGTGAAGGGGTCACTTTTAAGCTCAGGGGCCTCATCCTACCTCCATAGCCCTCCTGGCATGCGAAGATGACCCAGCCCACGGCTGCTGCCCACACAGTCCGGTGCAGGGCCTGGTAGATGACGGTGGCAGCTGAAGTTGAGGAAGAGGCATCATCCAGCACATAGGCCAGAATGACCACTGCAAAGAGGACCAGCAAGGCACAAGTCCAGCCAAGCAGAGCCTGTACCTGTGGGAAAGGGAGGGTCACTGTCCACTCTTTTCCTTGCGGATTTACTTCCTCCTGCACAAACTTATTTCCTGTGTGTTAGGCACCTCAAGACGGCCCCCATTGTCCACGATAGGACAGGTGGCACCTGATACATGCACAGCGGTGCTGTTAGTTGCCAGCAACTCATGAAAGCCCCGTATGTGCCGAGGAAAACTGCTCCCCAGGATTTCAAGGCTGTGACCCTTCAAATGAAGATTACCAGGCCTTACTTCCACGGCATTTCTGAGTGAGTTGAACACCAGCTCTTTGGTTAGACCAGGGCTTAACCATGTGTCCACCCAGGGACTGCTTGCACGCAGCAACAGGACATAAAATAAGGGACTGAAGGTTGACAGATTGTCCTGAAGTCAGCTTCCTGGCTGCAGTCATGTGCCATGTGATGTAAGAGGTTACCAGCGGGGAAAGTGGGTGACGAGGACATGAGACCTTCCTGTACTAGTTCTGCAATTTTCCATCAGTCTGTAATAAAATTGGAATAAAAAGCTAAGAGAGAGAGAGAGGAAGGAGGAGGAGGAAGAGGAGAGGGAAGGAGGGAGGGAGGGAGATAGAATAGTCTCTATTTTACTCCCACTGTCCCTAATCCTCCTCATTCCACCTCTAAAAGAAACAAGGTTTCCAGAAACATCAAGACCTTCCACCTCCTGCCCCTCACTGGGACTCCCAGAATGATGGGATGCTCTCAACTCAGAGACCAGCCCTGCACCACGGCCTCACCTGGCCTCACCTGCCCAGGTCAGGGAGGAGGACAGAGAATCAGGTGTTGGAAGAAAGGAATGACCCCTCCTACCCTCCAGCTCCACCATAACTCAGTGCTCGGCCTCCTCCTGCCTGTGGCCTTGGGTCCACACCTTCCCCACCTCACCCAGCCCCTCCAGGGCAGCCTGGGAAGGCCACACCTTGGGAAAGCCCAGGCAGTGGTCCCACAGCTGCCCCATCCCACCTGGTGCCTTCCAGGACGACGTGGGAAGACCATACCTTGGTTGTGAGGATGTTCGTCTTCTGCTTTTGATTCATGAAAATACCCAAAAGAAGGCCTGTGAGGAACGGCCCAAAGCGGCAGTAGGGCTTGGTGTAGTATTCGGAGAAGTACAACACAACCACATCTTCACTGAGAAAGCACAAGGAGGAAAGGCAAGAGGTTACGTCTGCTCGGGATGCGGAAGAGGGACTCTGGGAGATGCCCACTGCAACAGCCAGCACGTCTACGGGTAACTCTCACGCTGTGGGCTCATGTCCTCGGACACTGACCTTGTTCCCACCATAGGCCAGACCTGGTGGCATTCCAAGTTCCCTCAAGTCCCTCTGCCCTGGATCCTACAAAGAGCAGGTAATGGTACTTGTTCAAGCATCCCTGGTGGGGAGGTGGTAATATGTTGAGCTGGTTCTCATCTACCAGCTGCTCCAACAGAGACAGAGAAGCGATCTCTCTGTGCAAAGATTTGCAGGCGGGGAAATCAGAAGCTGGGTCACCTACAGTCAGAATCGATTCTAAGGTAGCGGGTTTGGCTTGGTGTTTCTTTTACAGAGTTGTTTCTGGCAGCTATTATGTTAATTATGCTATGAAAATTCTTAACATGTGATGCCCCCAAAGAGGTCTCAATACTCCCAGGATGGAGATTGTCCTGAGAGAGAAGGGACATTCTGAGAGGGTCAGCCCCCAAAAGGGTTGCTCACAGCAGTGGTTTTTGTTTTGTTTTGTTTTTTTAACAAATCCATCATTTTATTTGCTTTTCAATACGTTTAAATCCTCAAGGGATACAGCATTACACGGATTCTGTGTCCAATGGCCTTAGCAGAATGGTTGCTCCAAAATTTGGCCCAAACCATGCCACAGTTTCCATGGGCACGAGTTACCTTTCCCCAGATTACTCTGGTTTTGTTAGGTTTGCCACCAGGAGTCACTGTACTATTTTTTGCTTTGTAAACATAAGCACGTTGTTGCCTCTATAGAATTCTATTTCATCTTGGGCATAAACACCTTCAATTTTAAGAAGAGCTGTGTGTTCCTTCTGGTTCTGGAGACCTCGTTTATAGCCGGCAAAAGTGGCTTTGCACCAAAGCCTCCCAGCCATCTTTGTGGTTTAGAAGTCCTGCCTCCAGGAGTCCTTTCTACTTCACACTCACCAAGAAGCAACTGAGTCCTGGAGCAGCAGCCCTCCGGACATCAGATAACCAGCACCATCAACTCTACCTCTGTGCCATCTCACCCTCCCTCTAGCTGGAATCCTTAGAAAACTATCACTGCAGGGGCCCTCGAGCTGCACTGATGTCTTCTGAGACAGTGGTGGGTTTGGGAACAATCTCTTTAAATGATTCTGATGTCACTCAGGTTTGAGCATTGGTGGGCTGGGAGCACTGGAGGGCTGGGAGCACTGAGGAGCGGTTGAGGGCTGTGAGCGTCCATGGGTTGGCAGCATTAGTGCGTAGGAAGCACAGGTGAGTTGAGAGCATTGATGAGCCAGGAGCAGCGGTTGGTTGAGAGCATTGGTGGATTGCGATAACTGGTGGGGTTATGGTGGATTAGAAGTGTTAGTGGGGGGGGGAGCTCTGGTGGCCTAGTGGCAAGAAACTGTACTGCAATCCCAGAGGAAGACGGTTCGAATCCACCAGATGCTCTGCCGGAGAAGGAGGCGCAATCTCCTCCTGTACCAGTCAGATCTGATTTGACGGTACACGCACACAAAACAATAAAAAAAAGAAGTGTTAGTGGGTTGGCTGTGTTGATGGGAAGGAGACTGGCAGGTTGGCAGACTTGTGGGTTTGTAAAACACTGGCCGGTTTGGAGTCCTCAGGTGACTCTCACGGGGGATCCACTGAGATATCCAGACAAGAGTGAACCTCATCCTGGGGAAGCTGGACGTGTCCTAAAGGCAGGTGACAGCATGACTGTGGCATGCTGCTGACTAGGAGGTTGGGACGGAATCATTCATTCCTTCCTCTCAGTCACCAATACAGAGCGTTCATGCGACCATCCCCCTTCTAAGCCTTTGGAATACAGCGGAGAATAAAACAAAGTTCTTACGTTCGTGGACCTTCCAGTTGAAGAAGACAAACTAAACAGACAAATGTATAGTATGTCCAGCGGCTTAGGACTGAGGCAGATAACAACAACAACATGGTGAGACAAAGCTGCATTGTTGGCTAAAAGCCTATCTTCTAACTACCACCTTCTTAACTCTCCTGGAAGCAGGAGAGGCATCCACTTCCTAAACAACACGCCTCTGGAAACTGTGAACTTGGATGAATGTCGATAGTTGTAGAGGGGCTCCAGGCCTTTTGTTTCTAGGGTCTCTGAGAGTCGTGCTCGACTCGAAGGCAATCAACAACAACTTCGCCTGTGCCACTTACCAGCTGTGTGACCTTGAAGAAGTCATCTTAAATTTCAGCCTTCTCATCCTGTACCCTCCTGCAGCCACGTGAGGGCGCCCCTGTCCTCTGAGAAGCCTTCGCACCGCCACCATGCGTCCCTGGTGCACCCAGACACGATGCCAGTGCAGATGAAAGTCCAGATGCTTGCAAACGCGAATGCAGTAACCTTTCCCACATGCGCTGAAAAGCCTTCCCACTCCATGGTTTCTCCCAGTCAACTGCACTGACCAGCAGCCCTCCTCTCAGTCCTGGTCATCCTGGGGACAGGCAGGGGACATTAACTGGGGCTGGCAGAGTGTGTTTACCTTGCTTCTGATGGAGCTGCAACCGGAAGCTTATAAACCAGCGTGAGCAGAGCGGTGACTGTGAAGGACAATGCCAACAGAGTGGTCCCCAGGATGCTGAGGGCCAAGCTACTCCTGCAGAGAAAAGGTGACACAGACGAGAGGACACCTCAGCACCAGTCACACAACATTGGAGAACACAAAGATTTGACCCAATGCCATCGTAAGGGGCTCCCTGCCAGCCCTGCTTTGGGGAGAGGCTACTGGGGGCTGAGGGGGTGCTGAGTAGTGCAGTTACCTGCTCAGCTGCTGACCTAAGAACTGGACATGTGAATCCCTCAGAGCGCACCTTGGAAGAAAGGCCTGGTGATCTCCTTCCCAAAAAGTCAGCCCTTGAAAATCCTGGTGCACAGTTCCTCTCTGATGCACATGGCGCACACAGCACCCGACACCTGACCCTCATCCACAACCTAATGCTTGGGAAACGCCATCCTCCTCCAAGTCAAAATGAGCTCCATGGCAGCAGGGTTGTTTTCTGTTGTTTTTTTTTAATGTTGTGGATTAGGAAGAGCAGTTGGGATCGGGTCTAAGCACCCGAGTCAGCATTCGTTTTGTGTCCATGCAGTCAATTCTGACTCACACTGACCCTTTTGGCACAGAGCTGAACTGTCCAAAGTTGTTATGTGCCATTGAGTCAACTAAAACTCACAGTGACCCAATGAACAATGGCTCTGAACCGTGTCTTAACCTGAGCCAGCTTCACCATCTTTGCCACACCTGACTCCCTTGTCCCAGTCATTGTGTCAATCTGTCTCATTCACGGCTCAAGAGCGAGTCCTAATCTCTGGAGCAGCAGCCTGCAGTCCCTCCTCCCACAGAGCTCCTGACGCATTCTGGCCTCCAACCGTTCCATTAGCAGGTGAGTGTGTAACCACTGCACCACCAGAGTTCCTTGTGCTGGCATTCAGTCTTATGTTCAGAGCACTTGTTCTAGGGAAAGTACTAGTCTAGGCTCTTTCTGGAGGACATCCCTGATTGTTCTTTTGTCAGACCATGCATGCTAGGAGGATGGAATATTGCTATATTCTATAAGTAATTTATCATTGTAGTTCAAAGCCCCAAAGACATCCACACGCTTTGACCCAGAAGTATGCTAAGAAAATGCCAGAATTTCTGATGGGTGGTTGCCATAAAAATATTGACCAGATTTCCATTTTTTTTAAAGTGTAACATTGGAAGCAGGAGTGGCATCCACTTCCTAAATAACATGTCTCCAGAAACTCCATGAATTTTGATAAAAGTCGATAGTTGTAGAGGGGCTTCAGCCTTTTGTTCATAGGGTCGCTATGAGTCATGGTCAACTCAAAGGCAATCAACACCACATGGGAAATAAAGTAACAACAGAGGAAAGTGAAAGCGAGGTAGTTGGTTCATGGGATGGAAGGTTGTGCAGATATATTTATTTATGTAAAAAAAATAACAGGGAATTATTTCTGTTCTAAGACTATGAGAAGAAAGATTCTGAAGGGTGTATGCGGCATGTTTTCATGTCCTTAGAAATGTGCAGGAGAGAGCTCTGAAGAGGAAAGGGCAGACACTAACAGTGATTTCTCCATCCCTGCAGGGTCCCCACTCTAATATGAGGAGCCTGGAGGTGGAGTGTGTGGCGGTCACACTGCCACACACAGTGAAAAGGGTCTAAGTTCAAATCCACCAACTGCTTTACAGGAAAAAGATAGGCATAAAGATTTACAGCCTCCAAAACTCAGGGGAGGGTCCTCAAGAGTCAGAATCAATGTGACAGCTGTAGGTTCTCAGTTCAGTGGTCTAGTGGGTTATCTGTTGGGCTGTTAACCAATAGGTTGATGGTTCAAATCCACCAGTCATTCTACAGGGAATAGAGGCAGCCATCAGTCCCCTTATAGATTTACAGCCTCAGAAACCTGATACAGGGTTGCCATGACAGAATCGACCCTGTGGCAGGGATTTTGGTTTGTTTTCAGTGTGATGTTACAGTAGGTTAGTTGGGCTGCCATACAGAAGATTGACAGTTCAAATCCACCCGCTGTTCTCCAGCGTCCTCCCGTGAAAATTTTCAGTTTCTGAAACTCAGCTCAGGTTGCCACAGGGTAGAATTGACTTCTCAGTGGTAGGCTTGGTTTTGAGTTTACACTCTAATATTTTTCAAAGTCTCTTAAATTGAGTATGGATTTTAATTTTTAAAAAGGCATCATAGATCTTGTAAACAAGGCATGAATAATCCACAGACTATACATCTCTCCATGAATCTCTAAAGCTGCTGAGCTTTGTGAAAACCAACAAAAATTGAAGTGATGAATATCGAGGCGGGGGCAAAAACAGCCACCCTGCTAACACAGCCGGGGGCGCTGTAAATGACTTCTCGCTTCCTGCTTTCTGAAGAGCAATCACATCCTGGGTAACAAGCACCACAAAATTGTTTCCACCCTCTGACCTCTTCATCCCACTTGGAATTGCACCCTTCGGGAAATAACGCAAAGGCGAAGCTGTGGGCTCAGAGACATCTGTCGCCAGGCCGTTTATAAGCGTGAATAACTGGCAGCTATCTGGCTGCCTGACCACAATAGATAGAGCTCTATCAATCCTAGCGCTGCCTTGTGTGCAGGTTATGGGAGTGTGTGCAAATGCTCATCACAGCTGTGCAAGGGGAAGAACTGTGCACGAAAATACAAACACACTGATGATGACGGCAAACAAAACACACGCATCTCTCCTTGGGTATAATCCAGGTGGGAAGAGCTTGTGAAAGAAGGCCGTCCACAGAGGAGTCGGCTCTGACTTTTCTGAAAAGTTATTTTTCTAATATTTAAAAGCAGTTCTGTGCTGCAGTGTAAGTCTTTTCTAAGAGTTTTCCAAAAGTGGCCCTAGGCAAAGGAAAGTGTGGTCCCATTGCACTCACTTGCTGTGGATGGCAATGATGGCTGGTGTAACGAGGTGGAACTGGAAGTCATTGGCCAGGTACCACGTCCAGCCGTTGCACTGAAAAGAGAAAAGGGAGTGGTTTCTTGCCTTTATGCACCAGCTCTGCATCCACTGACTTACCTCACCTTCCATGACCAGGAGGAGGTGGTCTGGACAGTGACATGGATTTCAGGGGAAAGAGAGAGGGTATTTGAGGGTCCAGATACCTCCCATCTCACATCCTGTGCATTCTTTACCACAGCTTGGATGCTAGGGACTCATGCAGCCACTTAACTAAGTGAAAATTCAGACACGGGCTAGGATAGTAGTTTATTAACAATAATAACAAAACCCAATGATTGTCAGAGACAGAAAGTACAACAGTGGACACCAGAAGGTGGCAGCGTGGGAGAGGACTGGGATGGAGAGATGTTGTTCAGTGTGGAAACAGAGCTTCTGTTTGAGATGATAGAAAGTTCTGGAGGGAAAAAACAAAGGAGATGGTTACCCAACATTGTGAATCTACTTGATACCATTGAATGAGATGCTTTAAATGGTCAAAATGGTAAATTTGTATCAGGTATATTTTACTATAATAATTTTATGGGAACAAATTCTTGAAAGGTTGGCAATGGAAGTATCATTTAATTTAGCAATTCTAGGTGTATGTTCTAGAGAAGTATAACACCAGTAGATGCTTGCACACCCACGGTCATCTTATCACAGCATCAGTCCACAACAGCAAAGAGACGCAAACAACCCACTTGTCCATCAACAGATGAATGGAAAAATGAACCTGGCACAGACACACCCTGGAACACTGTGCGGTGTTGAGGAGAAACGAAGGTTCTGTGGAATACCTCATATGTGGATGAGCCCAGAGGGTGTTACACTGGTTGAAAGTGGTCACAAAAGGACAAATGTATGAGTCCGCTAGTACCAATTCAAGGAATGGCTTATACACAGAAAGACACATTTTGGATGGTTATTGGGGATGGAAGGGAGGGGACAGAAAAGCATTAATAGTGATATGCATATTAATTTGGGTAAAGGGAAAAGCAGTATATTATAAGAGGGAAGATTAGCACAGTTTCACTGAAACAAGGAGGAGGGAGATGTGCATAAGAATTAGAAAACAACAGTAAATATCCATTCTGTGTATTATACTACAATAAATTGTTTTTAGATGGACACTGTTGTTATTGTCAGAATATTGGTTGAGGGCAGTCCTGGCTTCCATGTGAAACCCTGGACTCACACACAAACAAAGGCATGTCAGTTCAAGCACCGTCCATGTTTGGGTTCAGAGAGCCACTTCCTTGTAATTTTGTCTCAAGAGAGATTCTGGAGAAACTCACTCCGTGGCACCACAGTCAAAGGCACCCTGATCACCCCCTAACTCCCTCCATCCAAAAGAGAAAGACTTCATCACCGTGGGCATGGCTTTGTTCACAGTCGAAGAGGAAGTGTTGTGATGTGGACAGTGAGGTGCATGCTGACTGCGTGGCTGGCCAGAAGCCTCTACATTCAATGTCCCAATTGGGTTTCAAGTCCCTTGGGTGGTACAAATGGTGAAGTGCCTGGTTGCTAACCAAGAGGTTGACAGTTCAAGTCCACCTAGAGGTATTTCAGAAGAAAGATCTATTGTAGAAAAATTGGTCGTTAATCCTACAGCACATGGTTCCACTCTGACACACTTGAGATCATCATGCGTCACAGTCTACTCTTCCGTAACTGCTTTTCTTTCTCTTTTCATTCCCCTCTAAGTTTCCTCTGAGGAAACCGGGCTTTAGGGAAGCCAGGAGGTACAAAGCCTGTTGCTCTGAGCCACACTGTCAAGGTGTGGCTTGAAATGAAGCAGAATCCATTGTGGCAGAGTGGGCTGCCCTGCTCCATCCCATTACAGGCCCCCTGCACAAGGGAGCAAAGTTCTTTTCTCCATGAGGTAGAAAAGACTAGAACAGAAAACATGGCGGGTCAGGTGTCAGCTGTTCTGCAGATGAAGAAGGTGACCCTCACTGGCCTTGCTCCTGTTCTCTGCTTTCCACAGTCCTGATCTGATCCAGACCAACATGGAAATACCCCCTCATTAAAAGGGCTGGTTTCCTCACCCACAACCCGATTCTGTAGCATCAAGATCATTCCAGGTGAACAAGTATCTCCCTTTTTGCCAGGAGACCAAAAGAACTAGATTGATACCTGCTACCATTATGGAACATTTTGATTAAAGATTCCACAGATGTATCTTGCTCACAAGGGGGAATAGAATTTCAAATTTTCATAGACTCTGAATTTTCTTGTTCCAAGAAGTGTGAACAAACCCCTGAGACCTTTAACCCCAAATAATTCTTAAAACTTAAAAAAATTTCTGAAGCGTTTTTAAAATATTTTAGTTTGTTGTTGTTGTTAGATGTTGTCAAGGTACTTCTGGCTCAGGCTCATGGCCACCTTACATATCACAGCACGGAGCATTGCCTGACCCTATATCACCCTTACAGATGTTGGTGTGCTTAAACACTAGGACATAAATGCCTCTCATTATTGAGGGCTCCTTTTTAGTTCTATCTACTGCACACTGGAAAAAAATTGACAACAGTAACAGGAAAGATTGGAAAAGAGGCAGAGAATTTGTGTTCACGAGAAAGCAACAATTCATAAAAGGAGTTGACAGAAGATAATCAATGTCACTGAATCCAACATGTAGAAATCGTTGATTTGGTGGATGTTTTGCTGTGTAAGTTCTCAACAACAGAACAATAATTCCCTGGAATATTCCACAGGAAGTGGTGGGCACTCAGACTGGCCCTGGAGGAGGGGGCTGACCAAGGGCCATGAGACGAGTCCAGACGCCACACACTCTTTCCAGGGGCCGGACACTCACCGCCTTCTGAACGGAGACAAGGTTGTTGAGAAGCAGTAAGTTTGTCCACCAGGTTTGCCGGCAGTTATCCAGGTGCAGCCTGGGCACTTCCCAGACGGGGCCCCAGGGGACAAGGGGGAACAGTCCACCCAGCAAGCACACGGAGTACAAATGCAGAGGCTGTAGCCTGAGAGAACGGTGGAGAGAGAAGACGACCAAGGTCAGTCAGTCCCCCGTGACTGTGAATGTAGCAGAAGATTTGAACCCCTTGCAACACCCCTGCCTTCCAGCCTCAGAAGTGTTTATTACATACCCAGCATGCTGACTCTGTTCTGCTGAAGGAATTAGTAATAGAATCTCATTTACTAAGCATATGCATTTACTAAACCATATGCATTGGAACCTATGACTAGAGTTGTTTAGATCAAGATCAACCAAAGTGCTTGATGGAGACAGGGATGGTGATTCGGGCATATTGCTAGGAGAGATTATTCCCTGGAGAGGGACATCATGCATGAAAAGGTGGAGGACCAGCAAAAAAGAGGAGGCCCCTCCCACAAGATGGACAGACACAGTGACTGCAGCAATGGGCTCAAGTGCGTCCGAGACGGTGAGGGTGGCCCAGCATAGGACAGGATGGAGGTCTGTTGTTTGCAGGGTCGCTAGGAGTCGTATTCCACTCAAGGGCATCTAACAGAGATAAACAGTTAAGTACTTGATTTGTGGGTCTCAATTCATCACGGCCTTATAGGATAGAGTAGAACCACCCAGTAGGGTTTCCTAGAGGGTGATTTTCATGGGAGAAGAAATTTCTCCTGTCTTTTCAGCCAAGGAGCCGCTGGAGGTTTGAACCACCGATCTATGCATTAGCAGTCTGTTGTTTAACCTCTGCACCACCAGGCTCTATGACAAGCTGAAAAGTTGGCCATTGAACCCACCAGAGGTGCCTCAGGAGCTGGGCCTGGAGGTCTGCTTCTAGCAGCTCACAGCCCTGCAAACCCCACAGTGCAAGCACACGGTGTGGCCATGGGTCAGAACCAACTCAACAGCTGCTGACAAACATCAAAACAACCTCGTCGTCACAACCACCACCCTCACATGCCCGATGAAAACGGAGGGAATTGTCGTCAACAAAACAGCCAGAATGAAGGCTGCATAGTGGAGTGTACTCGGGGGAGGGGGTTTTGTATACCAATGAAGGAATTTTTCTTTTACTTTTCAAAGAGAAGAGCCAACTGGAAAAGTGCAACAATGAATGAATGGAAATCCAAAATCTCTGTAAATGTTCATTAAAATTAATAAAATAAAATTTAAAACAAACAAACAAAAACCCAACCATCACCCTCACATGACTGATGAAGAGTTTGAATTGTCATCACCACAACAGCTATCACCCTCACGTGACCGATGAGGAAGTGAGGGAACCCATAGTTTTCCCATCTAAGATGAGAAAATTCAAGTATGTGAGGGCTGAGTAACACTCTTGGGTGTTCAGCGTGCCAACCTAGCTGACCGACTACAGAGCCTGTGGTTACCCACTGTCTTTCCAGCCCAGAAAACACGTCAACACTCCCTTTCCTAGTCTGCGACAGTGTGGCGGGCCAGGAGGACCAGAGACCAGCTCCGCAGCTGTCCCTTTTCCCAAAAAATGTGCAGATTGAAGGGGGAGGCATCAATTTACATGAGCTCAATTTTCCTTTTCCCTTGAAAGCTCAGCTGTCAGATCCCATGACCAGCGCTTTGCTCTCAGGAAGCCCATCTTCCGCCTCCATGTTGTAATCCCTCTGCTCCAATCAAAACACTCACCCCTCCAGGAGACCATCCTGCCCCCTCAGCACCCTGACCACTGGCCCCACCTTCAACCAGCCCCTCTCATAGTTGCGTCTTTACTATCTTACAATTACTAACACATTTCCTGTTGCAAAAGGCTATTGGGTAGCATTTCAGAGGGGTGGCCAGGGAGGCGAGGGGCATGGTGTTACGAAGTGTGTTACACTCTTACTTACAGGACCTAAAATGCCAGTAATTTGAACGAGCCACACAGATTCTTTTGTTTAGTGTAGTAGGGTCTAAGGGACTCTGGCAGAACATTGATTAAAATATGCTGCCCGTTGATTGAGGAGTAAGGACATTGTGTCAGTGGAAGGTATTAGTTTCCATGGTATCTATTCTAGCAAAATTCAAACCACATGAAGTCAGCAAACACCAACTGTATTTTGGAAGGAAACTATTTCTCTCAAATGAAAATAAAACCCTTTAAAGAGAGTTGAAGACAAGGAAGCCTGTGAGAGCTGAGTGGCACAGATGTAACCTTGCTGGTCTCACCTTTTCTCCACCTTTAGACCACAGCCTACCCACTCTTCCTATGCTCATTTTAATGGGAATATCTGAGTGTTCTTTCTCTGATAGATTTCCACCTGATAGTTTCCAGCTGGGCTGCAATTCCAAAGGCACACAGTTTCACTCCGCTAGCTGCTCTGGGGTGGGGGGAAGGATGGACATTTCCTCCCATGTGATTTACTGCCTCTGAAATCCCACTGGAGGGTCAGGTATGAGTCAGCTCCCTCTTGACAGCAAACAACAATCACTGTACCACTAAGCTACCAGGAGCTGCACTGTCAAGCCGATGGTCCATGGTTCAAATCCATCATCTACCCCACAGGACAAAGAGGAGCAATCGCTTCTTGTCTGATCTGCTGCCTCTGAAAACCTGCTGGAGGGTCCACTAGGGGTCAGATCTGAGTCAACAGCCCATAATAACAACCACAACTGTTTAATAAATTATTAATGTAGCAATAATGATCTGAAATGATACAAATATAAACATACCTTATCAGACGACTGGAAAAGTACCTGAGTATGATTTTAGGAGTTATTCCTCTGTCGGAATGCTGTTGCATCTTTAAAAATGACCTGGCACTTAAGCAGCCACTGGTTAAGAGAGAGAAAGAACAGCACAGGCGTTACCATCAGTAGACAGTCCACTGGTAGATAATCTGCTTGTCTCAGTGAGGACAGGATAAGTTCTGCTGCAGTAACAAAGCACTTCCAGGTCTTAAAGCAACAACTGGGTTCTTTTTCTTGTTTATGTGACATGCCCACAGCTAGTCACCAGGCACAGTGTCCTCTTCAATACGAAACCAGGCCACGACCTGAACCTTCATCACTGACCATGGCTGGAGACAAGAGGGTTCTGGTCTAGATCAAACCAGCAATAAAACAGTTTAGCTTAAAAGTGTCAAATGTCATTTTTCACTCATTACTCATCGGCCAGATGTTGTGACATGACCTACCCAGCCTCAATGGGGCCACAGAGTGAAATGTGACAGATACCTGGAAGGCAGCCAGCCAGAAGCATTTGGCAAACAACACTATTGTCTGCCCCGTCGATCTTTTAAAACAGTAATATCAAGGTCTGCCATTTATGCTGTCCTGCAGAGCTTCCTAAGCACTTTCACTAATGGGCTAGTTTTTGTTTACGCAACACAATCAAACTACTCTGTAATAAATATTTGCCAAGTGCATGATCAAATAGACAAAGCTGCCCTATTAGGTAAGAGGGAAAACATCATTATCCTTGCTTATCTGCAGAGAAGTTGACTGGGAAGTGAACTGCTCAAGGTCACAAAGTTCTTAGTCAATGTGTCCTTGGTAGCAGATCCAATGCCCAGAATGTCCCGCTAAAGAAAGGAGGTTATGGGGGGGGCAGGGGCGGGACAGGGAGAAAAGGGCAACAATGAATGAATGGAAGCCCTAAGTCTCTGTAAACTGTCATTAAAATTAATTTAAAAAGGAAAAAAAGAAAAAGTGTGAAATAATGTATATGAATTTTGCATAGAAAAATAAAATAAAAATATATAATAAATTTTATAAAAATATAAAATAATTTTTTAAAAAAGAGTTTTTGCCTTTTTTTGGAGGGGGGTCTCCAAGGCCATACTTTTTTTATTAATATTTTTTTATTGGGAAAAACATATTGGGGGTACAAGGAGGTGAGGGTTGGGGGCAGAAGGATGAGGATGGGCCAGGATGCAGTTGCAGAGCTGCATAGTTTGGTTGGTGGGGGGAGCAGGTGAAGGAAATGATGAGGGTCCAGTGGGGACCAGATGCTACAGAGGAATGACAAGCATTTTCCAATAGTAATTAAACCAACTGTCTTATTGATTTGGGAATTGGATGCCGACTTTCTGGCTTCTTCATGCTGAACAGGGGCGTAGATATAAAGGGGGGAAGGGAGGACGCTTTATCACCTTACTGGTGGTCTTGGGTTACAGCTGCTTGCCTTCTTGCTCCTGAGGGCCGCGATGGTTCGCCCCGAGCTGGGGGCCAAGCACAGCTCGCCCCGGGCAGAAGGCCACGACGGCTCGCCCCTGGCCGGGGGCCGAGGGCAGCCCGCCCCGGGCAGAGGGCCGCGACGGCTCGCCCTAGGCCGGGGGCCGAGGGCAGCCCGCCCCAGGCAGAGGGCCGTGACGGCTGAAGTAGTCTTTTTTTTTAAAAGAAGTGTGTGTGTGTGTGTGTGTGTGTGTGTGTGTGTGTGTGTGTGTACCATCAAATTGGATCTGACTGGTACAGGAGACTGCCCCTCCTTCTCCAGCAGAACATGAAGTAGAGTCTGGGTTCACCCCCCCCCCCAGGTGCCAGTCGGGGCCTGGGTTTCAGCTGTCCACACCACAGCAGTGGGCAACGAGCTTAAAGCCCCTGATGGCTCTGGGCGCTGACTCTCACCAGTGGCTATGGATGAAGTCACAGGCGATTTTCAGCCAGCGCCCCAAGGCCATACATTTTTATGGAAGCAGACTGCCACATCTTTCTCCCACGATACATCTGATAGGTTTAAACAAGCACTTTAACTACCATGCCACCAGGGCTAGGGGGCGGTGATATAAATGAAATGTTTCCAATCAGGCTGGGAGGATGGCCAGAGGCAGGGGGTTCCAGGACTGCAGAGCAAGAGTGAGCATCTTAGGAGGTCCTAGCCACCCTCCGGGCCTCGTCAGAAATCCAGGGGGGTGAGATCTCCAAAGTCAGAGTCAAAGAGGTCTCTGATGTTCTCTTCCTCAAGGCCAAACTGGTACTCGAGAACTTCGTTGGGAGGGGACAGGGTGATGAACTCCTCAGGGAGGAGGCTGGAGAAGTCCTCCTGCACTTGCTCTAGGAGTGAGTCTGCTGCCACCAGCGGGGACAGGCGGTGCTCATTCACAGGGGCCCGGAGGCCACCCATTCGGGACAGCAGCAGTTCTAGGAACATGGGGAGCATCACAGGCCAGGGATGCCCCTAAAAGGAGCCAGAAGGAGCTATCATGCCTGCCCACCATCCACCCAAAGGGGGTGCCTTTTAAGCCGTAACTGATGCTATGTTTGTGAATGACTTCCCAATCTCCTGACATTCATTCCTGCGACCCCTGCTGCCGTTCCCCGAAGGATTAGATGTATTTCCTAGAGCTTTGGTGGCCTAGTGGTAAGAAGCTGTGCGGCAATCCTGAAAGCACATGGTTTGAACCTGTCAGCAGCTCTGTGGGAGAAGGATGGGCTAGCAATCTTTCCAGAGGGTCAACTTTGGGTCAGCTCTGACTTGATAGCACACAACAACAACAAAAACGTTGCAACAGAAGATGTAAGTGTGTTGGGTAGTGTGGGGAGGGACAGAGGCATGCTGGGTAAAGTCTGTCTTTATTTGCTGCCTGTGAGATTTTTTCCTTTGAGAGTTGGAAAAGTGAGAACAGCAACACGCACACACACACACACACACACTCCAAAATAATAAAACAAAAAAACAAGAAAAGCCCAACAGCAAGCAAAATACTGTTCAAACTTATTACCTGAGCAGGAAAAAGGTATCAACCCCAAGATAGAAGGGGCCACTCCGAGAATAAAGGTACAAGGGGCTTTTAAGCACTCTAGCTTTCCATTCAAGGACATTATCTGTAACATTAAAAAAAAAATAAATTGTGTTTTTTGTTTAATTGAAGAAAATTATGCAATATCATTTTTTTCTGAACAAATACAAACATCCTCAACTTTGAGTTGAGGATGGGTTTGGGGAATCACCGTGATTGATGCAAAAGGAGACGTTGGAGAGGGAACCAGAGCTGGTGACTGAGGCTCCAGGTTGCAGGGAAGCCGTTGAGCATCTTTGCGATCTCGGGCTTCTCCTGACGCTAAGTCATTGATGTCGCTCTGCTGCACACGGACCCAGGTGACTCACCTGTGAGACTCGTCACACTGCTCTGAGCTGGTTCCTCGGCTCCTCAGGGCTGGCATGTGTATTTGACCCCTGATCAGAAAAACGGCCAGAAAGCACTGCTCTTACGATGGGTGCTCAGGAGTGTAGCACCAGGCAGGAAGCTGAGAATCTCCGCCCTAATGTTTGTTGTTGTTGTTGTTGCCATGTTGAAGCCCATTATTACCTCTGCTGTGAAATTCATCTCACTGAGGGTCTTCCTCTTTTTGCCCACTGTCTGTGTCCTTCTACAAGGACTGATCTCTCCTGGTAACATGGCCAAATTACATGAGATAAAGTCCCACTTCCTCACTTCTAAGGAATATTCAAACAGCACTTCTTCCAGGAGAGATCTGTTTGTTGCTCTGACAACAGTGGTACACTCAATATTCTTCACCAATGTCAGTAGGAAATAGCACCAATTCTCCAATCTCCTTTATTCCTTCTTCAGAAATTACAAGCATTTGGAGGCAATGGCGAATACCACGGCTTGGGTCATGTGCACTTTCATCCTCAAAGTAACATCTTTAACTGTTAATGAAACATTTTTTACCGATCTTATGAACAAGGGATCTGAACCCCATCCTACCCTGTACCCTCCTCACACTTCCTGGTACACTAGACCCCATTGCAGCAGTCACCCTATCAATCTAGCTGGTTAAGGGTCTTCCTTTTCTATGCCAGCCCTTCCAAGCATCATGTCCCTCTCCAAGGACTAGCTCCTTCTAGCAATATTCCCAAAGTATGTGAAGCAAAGCCTCAACATCTTTGCCTCCAAAGAGCACTCTGGCTCACCCTCTCCACAACATAGTTGTTTGTTCTTTTGACAATCTATGGGATCTTCTTGATGCTACCAATATCCAAATGGCCAGTGGTAGTCCATTTTCACTCACTAATGCCTAGGTTATTGATTTTTATGTATTTCATCTCATTTTTTATAATTTGCCATTTTCTGAGATTTAGACTTCATGTATTCTACATTCTATTAATGAATGTTTGCAGCTGTTTCTTCTCATTTTGAGTTATGCCACATTAGCAGATGAAGGTCCTGGTAGCTTGACTCCATCCACATCACTGAGGTAGACTCTTCTTTGAGAGAGCAACAATTCCCCAGTCACATGTTGTATAAGGCTCTATCAATGTCCCACTGCTACCCATCATGTCTTCATTGGTCAATTTTATAAATACATCTCCAGTTCCTTCTTCTTCGTTGGTCTTAGTCTAAAAGCTCTGTTAAAACCTGTCTACCACAGGGGACTCTTGCTGGTATTTGAAATACTGATGGTCTCTTTTCCTGCATCAGAACAACACACAAGACTCCACAGTACAAGATGACCAACAAATGGCCATTTAATATTATTTAATACTCCAGCAGAATATTAACATATGCTGGGCTGTTTTCCAAGAAGAAAAGCAAACTTAGATTCTGGCTTCAGTAATCATGCTGGGAGAGAACGTGGCTCCTTGAACTATGAAAATACAAAGCTTGCGGCTTACTATTCACCGGGAAACAAGATGTGAGATTTATACCTAAATAAGTGAGGTTGATTCTGACTCCTGGCGACCCCGTGCGTGTCAGAGTTGCTCTGGGCTTCACATGCATTTACAGCTGGATTTCTCAGAAGCAGGTCTACAGATCTTCCTTCTGAGAATTCTATGGGTGAACCTGAACTTCTAGCCCTCTGTTTAGCCGCTGAATACATTAACCATTTGCTCTATCCAGGGAATCCACTGCACACTGCCTGGCACGCTCACCCTGGGAAATCCAGGCCTGGTCTCTGTAGTAGAAGGCAGAGTTGCTCATTGGAGGGCTCTACCCTGACCCACCACTGAGACAGTCCCTCTTCCTTAACCTGAAGGCTCATTGATTCTACGCACCCAAAGACAGCCAGGCTGTCATCTGGCTGGTGTGTCCCGAGATGATCCAGAGGAGACTTACGACACGGATGCCGTCGAGCACGGGACAGGTGTCTGCTGGGGTCCTTGTATTCCTCATGGAGGCCACATTCTTCTGCCAAGAACAGCATTTCAGAGCATGGTCCATGGCACTCAAGACTTCTGAATGAGACCAAAAGAGTTATTCTCTTCCCTGTAAACTAGACCTGTCTACTGATAGATAGATAGATAGATAGATAGATAGATAGATAGATAGATAGATAGATAACACAACACAGTACACATTGAGTTGGTTCCAACTCACATGACATGTAGGACAGAGTAAACCTGCCCCGTCAACTTTTTAAGTCTGAGAATCTTTGGGAAGCAGACTACCTCAACTTTCTCCCATAGAACGGCTGGCACCCTACCTTCTAAACAAGATCCAAAACACACAGATAGCTCATGTCAGTGGTCACCCCAAGTCTCTCACACTCTGATCCTAGACTGGCCAGCTCTGGTCTCCATGGTCTTACCTTCAACCATGAGTTGTTGTTGTTGTTGTTGTTGTTGTTGTTGTGTACCACCACGGTGGAACCAGCTCCTAGCTGACCTTCCAGTGGGTTTTCAGAGACAGTAAATTGCACAGGAGGAGATTGTCCATCTTTCTCCCACAAAAGCAGCTGGTGGATTTGAACCATGTGCCTTTGAGTGGGCAAGGCAACTCCTTACCATTAAGCCACCAAAGCTCTCTCATGGACCGTACAGAACCTATAGTTGGTCTTGCTTCCTTTGACTTCTGGCTTCCTCTAACAGACCTGGATCCGTCGGAAATATTTTGTCCCACCTTTTTCTGGCAGGATCTCTGTTCATGTGCAGTTTCAGGGAGGCCAATCCTCCTTGAAAGGGTTCAGCAGACGTGGGACTTGGGCCTCAGAAAGAGCCCACAGTATCCACAGTGCTGGTGCTGCCCCTGACATGGACTCCCTGGTGTTTCCCAGGGAGCACCCACTGTGAATAAGGTCTCCTCATGTTGTCAAAGTGGAGATGTGAGAACAAGTGGAGGGAGTCGGTGGGACCGCAGTGAAGGAGGGGCCTCACATGGGACTGAGTCTGGCTCCCATTTCTCAGCACTGTTGCTTCTAGCATGTTAATTAACATCTCTGTGCCTTAACCTCCATATCTGTGAAATGGGACTAAAAGTAGATCTGACAAGCACAGGAGCATCACGAAGAACAAAGGAGATCATTCCTATAAATAATTTCCAGGCGAGCTCTGGTGACCTAGTGGCAAGAAGCTGTACTGCAATCCCAGAGGGGGAGCGGTTCAAATCCACCAGATGCTCTGCTGGAGAAGGAGGGACAGTCTCCTCCTGTACCAGTCAGATCCAATTTGATGGCACACACAAAACAGATAATAAAAATTTTTAAAAATAAACAAACAAACGAAAAACTATAAATCATTTCCAATATGATCAGCCCATAGTAAAAACTCATGAGATGCCAGCTACTAATAATACTTCTAAGAACCTTAACAATGCGTATATATTCAGCTGCCAACCATAAGGTCGATGGTTCAAAGCCATAGAGCATGGCAATCCCTCATTCTGAGGCTAAGGTTACAAGTGGGTGATGGAAAAGCTAATCTTAGTACATTTATAATTCTTTTTTTTTTTTTTAAAAAAAAAGGCGCTCTGGAGTTGATTCCAACCCACGACAATTCCATGCTTATCTAAGCAGAATTGTGCTCCCTACAGTTTTCAAAGGCTGATTTTTTTCAGAATTATATCATCAGGCTTCTCTTCAGAAGTGCCTCCAGGTGGACTTGAACTTCCAACCTTGTGATTAGTTGAGTGTATTAACCACTTGCACTACTCATAAATTCCATCTCGATCATAGGTTGCTGTTGCTGTGTACTGTCGAGTCAGAATCGACTCATAGCTGACTCTCCAGTGGGTTTTCAGAGGCAGTTAATTTCAGGAGAGTAGATTGCCCATCTTCCTCCTGTGGAGCCGCTGGTAGATTCAAACCATAAACCTTTGAGTTGGCCACCAGAGCTACTTAGATCACAGGAGGGAGACTCATTTTGAAGGAGATACCTGAAGTTTTTCTTACTATTTGCCAGTTCACGGTGCTGGGCTAGTTGAGTGTTACTTAAGGCAGAAACTACATCACTGATATTTCAAACGTCAGCAGATTGGTTGCTTTGGTGGACGAGTTTCACCAGAGCTGACATTCTAAGACAGACTCAGAAGAAAGACGTGGCAATTGGCTTCCAGAACTTAGCCAATGAAAACTTTGTGGAGCACCATAGTCATATAAAGAACCAAGCATGGAAAGGGCAGAGGGCTGGGCAGCATTTCGTCCTGTCATGCACGGCATCACCATAACCAGCACCAATGTAACAACAACAAACACGTCAGCAGATGGCATGAAGGTTATAGCCCCAGCTTGTAACTGAATCACAGCACAGAACAGATCCCTGAACCTTCCCTCTCACACGCTTTGTCAGGGAGCCCTGGGGGTCTAGTGGTAGGGGGTCATAGGCACTTGGTTTGAATCCACCAGCTGACCCACAGAGAAAGATGGGCAGTGTCCTTCTGTGCAGTCTTCTTCTTGTTGTTGTTGATTGCCTTCAAGTCGAACATGACTCACAGTGATCCTATGAACAAAAGACCTGCAGCCTCTCTATACCTATAGACATTTATCAAAGTTCATAGTTTCCAGGGGCATGTTGTTTAGGAAGTGGATGCCACTCCTGCTTCCAGTGCTGCTTCTGAAGGCCCACTAGAGGGTCCGCTATGAGTCAGTTCAAACTCCATGATACTTAACAACAACAACAACAGCATTCTACATCAGGTTCTCTTTTCTGGCCGAGTGTTACGTATGTTGCACAGCATGTTAACTAGCTGCACTGCATGCTTCTTATCCTGGTCTGGGCTTATATGAAATGACTCATCTCTATGAGGTTAGGGTGCTTCAGTGAGTTGGCTGTGACACTGTGACACTGAAAACAGGTGTCACCATCACACCCACTCCCCTACAGACTTGTGACAGCGGAGGCCAGCCCTCATCTGTGCTCAGCACAAAAGTGTACTAGATGTCTGTGACCACGAGATCCAGCATTTCCCGGGCCTGGCTTTTGCCTACAGATGAAACAAAGACACAGTGTGCCACGCACAGGCCACCCTGGCTGATGTTTAGACACTGCTGGGCATGCGCTGGGCTCCAGCACCGCAGCCACAGTTTCCCAGCCACAGCCTCGTCCAGGCCACTGTCTTGGGTGGTCTAGGTTTCATGACAAAGCTTACTCTGTGCTCTGCTTGAGACTGTTAATCCTGATAAATGGGCCAGGCAGTCCTCGTGCCGGAATTTTTGTCTCTTTTTCTTTCTCTCCGTTTCTTCCAAAGGCAGACTACCGTAATTGGCCAGGGGGCTTCCTTGAGTCGGCGCTGTCCTGTGGTCTGACATCCACCCCGCAGCCACCACGTAGATGGTTCCAATCAGGGGAAGGGCAAGGCCCAGCATGGTGAAGAACCTACAAGGAGAAGGCCTCAGTGATTCAGTGACCTAGCCTGACCCTTCATAGACATCAACAAGGTACAGAGCAAACATCCAGTGACCAGGCACACACGCAAACTGCCCCCTAGAATCGAGGCAAATGCTTAGCAACATGGTAAGTTGGCTTTCTGAGAATAAAGATAAAGAAGGAAAGCACAAAGGAAAAGATGAATGGATTTCACTAAACTCCAAACCACAGTAGTAGAAAAGCAACTGCAGATGATCAAGGAAAGCAACCAAAACACAAGGAAGAATATTTGCAGCTGATATGATTTAGTGTTGATAGCTTTCATATATAAAATGTACTTTAAAGTCAATAACAATGCAATCACCCACTCAGAAAAGAGCATGCTTCTGAATAGGTAACTGCAGTCATTCATTCCAGGGATGTCACCAGAGCATTGAGGTATGATTTCAAGGAGGATAAAAGGGGGGGGGGGCACACAACTTACAGGGGGTAAAAATCACTATCAATTTTTTCTGTATGTAAATTAAGCCAATCTTTTACAAATGTATGTGATTTATGTATCAAATTGGTTCTCACTTTGAAAAAAGGAGATTTTGAAGGCAATGAAAGGGCAATGAAGCAGACATGCTCTTGTCCGAGTGGGGGCAGTAGAGTTCTCAGAAAAACTTGTCGAAGATTCAAGAGTGAAGACCAGCAATTGCATTTCTCATTATTTTATCTAAAAATAATCTCAAATAATTTGGGTATGTTATCAGGTGGGGACAGTTCCGAAAAAAGGACATAGTGTGAAGTAGATAGTCGGCAAAAGAAGCCCCTCAGAGAAATGCACTTACACAATGAAAGGATTGACACAATGTCTGCAGCAAAGGGCTCACGCACATCAGCGATGGTGGAGATGGTGGATGGTGCAGAAAGGAACAGAGCCTACCCGATGACCCTCAACAGCAACAGCAAAGAAAAATCAAAGATGCAAGCAAAAGTCACAGGTAAGGTTGTTGCAGTGTCTACAGGAGAGACAACATCTCAACTAACATGAGTTAAGCTCCTCAGAGGTCTCAAAGCCCAATGCCATTTGAGTGTGGTCACTTTCCAGGTGAATACCTTGGTATTTTCTTATTTGCCAGATATGTGACCTTCGTGCAAATAGGCAATGACTGGCCCAACACCACTCAATGGGTGAAAATAAAAGGGTTTCTGTAAAGGGAGATGGAAAAATTGGGGAATGGCTAATGGTGATGGTTCAACTACATGATTCTCAGAACTAAGAAATGTCACTGAATTGTGCCGGTAGAAAATGCTCAAATGTCAAATGCTTTTGTTGCATCTTTTTGTTAGATGCCATCGAGTTGAGTATGACTCATAGTGACCCTACAAACAACGGATCCGGACCCCATTCTATACTGTACCGTCCTCGTCATCTCTGACACTCTTGACCCCACTGCTGCAGTCATTATGCCAAATCCATCTCATTGAGGGTCTTCCTCTCTTTGACTGACCTGTCCAAGCATGATGTCCCTTTCCAAGGAATAATATGGCAACTCCTAAGAACACACCCAAAGTATGTGAGACAAAACTTCACCATTCTTGCCTCCAAGGAGCACTCTGGCTGCATCTTCTCCAAGACATATCTGTTTGTTCTTTCGGCAGCCCGTGGAATATTTGGTATTTTTCTCCAACTCTACAGTTCAAAGACATCATTTCTTCTGTTGTTGTCAAGCATTCAGATGCATAGCAAGTGACTGAAAAGACTATGCTCTGAATTAGGCACACCTGATTTGTTGCATGTTTATTTACCCAAATGTAATAAGAATGAATCAAAACCAGTAAACTGAGTTGTTGTTGTTGTTATGTGCCATCAAGTCATTTGTGACTCATAGTGACCCTATGTATAAGAGCCCTAAACGCTGTTCTATCCTGTGCCAACCTCGCTGTCTCAAACAGATTCATTCCCACCACTCCACTCACAGAACTGATCAATTGCCATGTCTTTTAATCCAAATGATAATCTAAGTGTGCTCTATTGTACACAGGGTTTTCGAAGGCCTGTCATTTCAGAAGTGGATGGCCAATCCTTCTTCCTAGTCTGTCTCAATTTTTGTAAACTGAGTAGTTAAATGCAAGTAATTAAATGCAATTAGTGAGAATAACAAGAAAAAAACACACAAAAGTTTCAGAAGACTCCCTCCCAGCAGAAACTGGGTACCTATACTCACAGACACACGGCAGCAAACGTGTCGAAGGGGAACATCCCACCAGCACATGTGGCCATAACCACCCCAGGTGAGGAGGAAGAATTTATCATGAAGAGAGACAGGGACGGTGCCAGAAATGAGATGTTTCGGAATCTTAAAATACCTACCAAGGGGGGAAAAAAGAGAAGAATTAATAACATTTTGCAGTAAAACACTTTTCTAAGAATTTTCCTATCTATGATTTCAAAACAAAACTCTGGCATGCAACAAGGAAGGTAGCCCATAATATAATCATTTTAGAGGAAATTCACTTGTTTAGGCACAATGATTCAGAATGCAGGGCTGCTGTTTGGAGGGCCTGAGTTCACCCCTTGCTGTGTGACTTTGGGCAGGTTCCCTAATCTCCTGCACCTCAGTTTATTTTATCTTAATTTACCTCTGAGGTGAAGTGGGTTAGTAATAGTAAACTTCACTGGGTCATTGTGAGAATGAAATATAATAACTATTGTAGAACTAGAGCAATGCTTGGCTTATATAAGGGCTCAATACATGTCCATTTCATTTGTTATACAACCTGGGAAGTGGGTGAGCCAGGACTTATCCCAGGCCTGAATGCATGCTTGTTCATTTACTTCTCACCTCATCACATTGCCGTGACTGCCATATAGGCTCTGACTCTTATGCTAACTTGCTGTGTAACTAGGCACAAGTCATTTTTCTTCTCTGATCTCATTTCCTGATCTCTATAATGCCAGAGGGGTAGACTGAAGACAAGATTCTCTAAATTTTCTTTCACCTCCATTACTCACTGTTCTGATGAGTCTGTGGCCAAAATGTTTCTGAAATGCCCAAAACAGGTTGTAAAACCATCAATGAGAAAACCAAACCTTCTGTTGTTGAGTTGATTACAACTTGTGGCAACTGTCTGCTGGTTTAGCAGATTATGCATCTATATATAAAACTGACCAGAAGAGATAAAAACCTCAAGCTGATAAAGTGAAAACCTGCACTAGACAAGACACTTAACCAAAGCGGTAATTATAAAGCTGTCTTAGTCCTCTAACGCTGCTATAGCAGAGATCCCACAGTTATTAGCTCTCTCTGTTGGTTCTGGAGGCAGGGCCTTGCTTCCTTCAGCATCTGTAGGGCAGGCATTCCTTGGAGATCTCTATTTTCCTGGCCTTCCACAGTGTCAAGGAGTTTCTCACATTGAGACCTAACTCCAAAAGGACACGCTCCACTCCTGGCAATTCCTTCTTGGTGATACTGAGACCTCCTTATCAGATCCCTTTCCTTTTGTCTCTACTGAGAGAAAAAGGTGTTACAGGCCACATTCTAAAATATATCCCTTTCAAGGATCAGGGCTGTGTAGCACCCTTCCCCTCAATCCTTTCACAACTACCGTATCAGGGAAATCATTACATAACTTCCACATTATAGCATTGTTGTTGTTATGTGCTGTTGAGTTGGCATCAAACCAAAGCTGCCCCTGTAGAGGGTTTTCAGAGACAGTTAGTCACACTGGAGGTGATTGTCCATCCTTCTCCTGTGAAGCAGCTGGTGGAGTCACACCATGTGCCTTTGGGATCACAGTACAGCTTCTTACCACTAGGCCCCCATAGCTCCCCCATTATGTCATTGTTGTTATTGGGTATTGTCAAGTTGGAATTGACCCATCGCTGACTTTCTGGAGGGTTTTCAGAGGCAGTCAATTGCACAGAAGGAGATCACACATCCTTCTGTGCAGCAGTTTGTAGATTTGAATCAAATGACTTTGGGATTGCAGCACAGCTTCTTGCCAGTATGCCGCCAAAGCTCCTTCATGATATCATTATATACATGTATACGGCATGGTTCAAAATTGGAAAGGGTGTATGCTACGGATGTGTTCTATTGCCATACCTTTTCTATCTATATGCAGAATAGATTATTCAGGAGGCTGGGCTCTATGAGGAGAAATGTGGCATCAGGATTAGAGGTAGACTCATCAAGAATCTGTGTTATGCAGACGACACAACTCTGCTTGCTGAAACTGAGGAGGACCTGAAGCGCTTGCTGCAGAAGGTCAAGGGCTGCAACCTTCAATATGGATTGAAATTCAATATCAAGAAAACAAAGAATCTCACCACTGGGCCGATTGGCAGCATCGTAAAAGATGATGAAGAGACTGAGATTGTAAACCGTTTTAGTTTTCTTGGCTCCACAATCAACACTCTTGGCACCAGCAGCCAGGAAATTAAAAGATGAATTGCATTGGGAAAGTCTGCTGTCAGAGACCTCTCCAAAGTTCTAAAGAGCAATGATGTCAGTCTGGAGACTAAGGTGTGTCTGATACAGGCCATGGACTTTGCAATCACTTGTTATGCCTCAGAGAGCTGGACAATGATTAGAAGGAGAACTGATGCCTTTGACCTGTGGTGCTGGAGAAGAGTATTGAATATTCCATGGACTGCTAAGAGAATGAACAGGTTCATCCTGGAGAGGGTGAAACCAGGCTGCTCCTTGGAGGTAAAGGTTCTGAAGCTTCATGTGACATACTTTGGACATGTTTCAAGGAGGGACCAGTCCTTGGAGAAGGATGTCATGCTTGGGAGGGTGGAGGGACAATACAGGAGAGAAAGACCCTTGATGAGATGCCTTGTTTTAATGACTGGGATAATGGGAATAGGCCTGTTGGAGACAATGAGATTGGCACAGGATAGAGGAGGGTTTAGGGCTGTTGTACATTGGGTTGCTATGAGTTGCAGGTAATTCAACAGCACATAACAACAACAACTATGGGGAAGACACAATTCAATCTAGGACATGGACCATATTCAAACCCACAGACTACTGTCCTTCAGCCTTTGCTCTCTTTCCTATCTGTTGGACACTTGGTGGCAGGGAGGTCAGGAAATCCCCTAATGACAGCCTGCATCGCTGCGGGTATTTTCCCATTGGCTTACATCCTACTCAAGGGTATCTCTTTTTTCTTGAAAACATGAAAGAACATTTTTTAATTGGACACTGCAGAGATTTGAATATGAGTTTTAGGGCAATAACACCAGACTCTCTCTTTGTCATCCTTTAACTGTCTGGCATGTGCTGGATGCCTCAGGAAAATCCCAAACTAAAATGTAAAAGACTTGGAAACCATCTATACCATGGGAAAAATGTTATTATTTCATTTAGGGCTCAGAAAACAAAAAGAAGACAAAAGAATTTGGAATGGAATTAGAAATTATACTTCTGGGATCCCAGGTGACATTTTCTTCACCTTCATTTATTTTTGAAAGTGCACTTTTTAGATGTCTGAATCCTCCCTTGCCAAGAACCACAAGCTAATAGTTTCTCAGGAAAAGTACCCAGGCTGTCTCAAGTGACAGTCTCTGCCTTGAGACCACAGTGGGTCACCCACACAGCACAGAGGCTGGATGAGAGTTGTACTCTCCTGTCCAGGAACCTTCTCAAGGTCAGCAGCGGTCTTGGGAAAGACCCTGGAATTGCTGACTACAGTTTCCCTGAAGGCTCCGTGGAGACACATTCCCCAACTGCCATCACTCACTCACCTGAAACAGCAGACTCGCTCCCCTCTTCACCTGTTAATCAAAGACGGTTACTTTAAAAAATGATGCTCCTGCTTTCCCAGCTCTGTGAGCACAGTCGCTTAGAACAGCGATTTTATAGCTCTGCCCAACTGTGGATCCAGAACAAAGCTAACAACTTTATGGAAGGGAAGGAAGTGGGGGACCATACGCCTGAGGAAGGCAGAGGAGGGGATCTGTCTTGAATTGTGGAACAAAAACCAAAAAAAAATTGAATATATGCCCCCCCAAAAAATCCTATGTTTTCATTGCTGGGTTGTAATGATGTAATATAGCAGTTATGTAAAGACCCCTACAGTCTAACAAGCCAATCAGTAGCAAGTAGATTACGTGTAGGATGTAAGACCCTTAATCAGATCACAGCTCTGATCCACTGCAAAGAGTCTTGTGCCTGTAATGCCACTTACCACACAGGAGTTAAAAGGAGAGAGAATCGAGCAGAGGTGGGGGCCTTGGTACCACTGAGAAAGAAGACCCGGGACTGAAGTGATCCTTTAGACGCAGAGTCCTGTATGGAGGCCCTCCTAGATTCAGGAAAAGATTGAGGCCAAACCGTATAGAGATGTCTAAGGAATTCAGTGTTCAAAAACAGGGGGAAAGGACAAAGCCCTTCTTCCAGAGCTCACGGAGAGAAAACCTCTCACTAAGAGCACCTTGAATGTGGACTTCTAGCTCGTTAACTGTTCGCACCACCAGAGACACTGCAGCATGTGTAAAGGACTTATTACATATTGATTCTAAGCATCTCAGGAATCATTCCTTTGGCCTCTGCAAGTTGTGACAATGTGATCATCATAAAAATGTTCCAACATTTCCAACACAACAGTTTTAGAACAGTCCTTAAGAATGGAAATATGTAGCACTTCAGTGTTGTGTCTGCATAAAAATAACTAACTCCACATTCACAAGCATGGCTTTAAACAGCTCCTTCTTTTTCAATCCCTGATCTGGTCCTGGGGCTGGTAGAGATCATTCACCTCCAATCACACTTTGGTCCAATCTGTCCAGCGTTTCCCCAGAGCTTTGTGTTTTAGGGGATCCAGATAATCTAGCCAAACTAGGAATTTCGGGAATATTAGAAAAACTGTGTCCTCCAAAAAGTTGTGATTAATTTCTAGCATCTGATTAAAACTACTTGGAAATAGAGTTTGTCGTTGTTATGTTAATGAGGACATAGTGGAATAAAGTGGAATAAAGATTCGAAGGCCAATCCCTTCTAAATAGTGTCATATGAAAGGAACAGACATGACACAGACACATGCACTGGAGGGGGGTGGGGATTGGGCTAAGATAGAATGTGATGATTAATCTACATGCCAATAGATATCAAAGAGCGTGTGTGTGCTAACACACACACACATACACACACACACACAGAGACAGAGAGAGAGACAGATATTCCATGTCCTGATTCAGTCTTCTAGTCTCCAGAACTGAAAGACAATACATTCTCTTTCTGTGAAGCCACCCATTTGCAGTATAGTTGCGTTTGGAAGGACTGAGAAACTAAGACAAGTGAAATGCCCAAATCTGAATTTTTAGGGAAATAGCCTGTAATTGAGTGCTGTGGCCACCCATCCAAGTGTTCTCTAGATTCCTAGCACTGTGATACTACATACTTTTGATCCTCAGTAATTTACGCAAAGTCTTTTGAGTGACTGACGTCTTCTAATACCCTACAGCACCTACATGAGCCTCATAGCACAGTGGTTATGCGTTCTGCTGTTAACTGAAAAATGGACAGTTCAAACCTAGTTAACAGCTCCACGCAGGAGACTTGACAATCTTCACTCATGCCCCCCACTCCCAAGAGGGTCACAGCCTAGGAAAATCCTTAGGCCAGTTCAGCTCTGTCACGTGAGATGGTTGTGAGTTGAAATTGATGCTATAACATCTAACAACAACAACGGTGGCCACATTTGTACAGCATTTGCTCTCTAAGTCTGCTCCTGATAAATCATTCCCCCTCCCCTCCCCTCTATACTACAGGAGGTCTAGTGGTAAGAGGCTCTGTTACAATATCAAAGACTTATGGTTCAAATCTACCAGCTGTTCTGCAGGAGAAGGCTGGGTATTACCTTCCTGTGTGATTTTACTGCCTCTGAAAACCTGCTAGAGGCTCAGCTACGCATCGGTTCTGACTCCATGGTACCTACCAATGACAACAACTATAATACAGGGCTAACGTTTTCTTGATCTGTACACTGAAGTCTCTAAGTAAGCAAAGTTGGTGTAAAACTCTGATATAATCAAGCTAGTTGCTTTGCTACTTGTAGGACAAATTCTGGAAATTCCATCTGAAAGCTTTAAGGAAGAGCTGGAGGATCCTTTCCACAAGGGGACCTTTGTTCCTATACAAGACCGCTCCACTCCTCGCCTCTTCCCTTCTATGGAACTGGAGAAATTCCTTGGCACTGAGACCTAAATTCCACTAATCCATCCACCCAGGCCAAGCCTTCACCAGCCTTTCTTTTTTGCAGCTTCTCCAAGAGAATTGTCACCCTGCTTTTCACACTGCTTTCCCACAATAATCTTGTTTGGCTGACAATCCTTTCTAAAGCTCAGTTTTATTCTAATGTCAACACTGGCTGGTTAAGCTAGTTAAATCTCTTAAACAACAAAGGACATTAGCTCATTGGACTTACGGAGCTGTCACTTTTCACTTGAGATTTCAATTTAATAAGCATTCCCCACATTTGTTTTTCTTTCGGGGGGTATTTATGGCTTTTCCAATAAGAGTTGAAATTTTTATTTTATTTATAACTTTAAAAAGACAAGCACATAAAAATATGTAGCTAGCTAGATAGTTTATGTACCCAAGTCTGTAAGGATTGTCATAAAACCCAAGGACAGCGTAAGATAATGGAAAACTAACTGGAATGCCAACATTTTAAAAGGATTCCCTTCACAGTGAGTCATATGGGGTTTTACTGGGACGACCAGCATAAAAAACAAAGGCCTTGGTGGTAAAGTTTTAGGATGAATGATGTTCCTTAGTGACTGTGTGCTCCACAGATCCTGAGCCCTGACTGTACTTTGATGCTTTCTCCTGAGAAATGAGCATAACATTACCTGTGTGACCCTCTTTCACTGTCCCCTCATAAGGGCACCTTCCAGAGCACTCCCCTATTGATGCTACCCTATTTTAGCCCTGTCTCGTGGCTCCTTGTTGTGCTGGTTTAGTAGTAAGGAATTGCACTCCCAGTGCAAAAATCTCATTTGAATCCACCAGCTGCTTTGCAGGAGAAAGATGGGCAGTCTCCTCCCGTGAGATTTACTGCCTCTGAAAACCCATTTGAGGGTCACCTTCGGGTTGGTTTTCACTCGATGTTACTCAACAACCATAACAACTCATGGCTTAGCGGCAAAGAGTTGTGTTGCCAGTGCGAAGGTATGTGGATCTAATCCACCAGATGCTTCACAGGAGAAAGGTGGGCAATCTCCTCTTGTGAGATTTACCGATTCCGAAAACCCGAGGAGGGTCAGCTATTGATAGGTTCTGACTCGACACTGAACAACAGAAGCGACTCACAATACATAAGTCTCTTACACTAATTTTGGGGGTTTCTTTGCCCATTTATGCTTTCTGCAATGGTCACTTTGGACTATATGCAAAAATGAAAAAAGGGGGAAAAAACTCCCATGGAGTCAGATTTGACTGATAGCTGACCCTCCACTGGGTTTCTTAGATTTTAAGTCAAACGGCAGGTTACCTTCCGCAGAGTTCGTGGGGGGTTGAGCCTTCAGTTTAGCAGCCCGCCTCCCTGTGCACTAGAGACTACACCACCAGGCTCCCTGCAGGCTCACCGCGCAGACATAACTTTGCAAAAGAGCCCAGTGCCTAAAGCCAAGTGTTCTCTAGGAATCCCTTTCTGATTGTTTGACCTGAAGTTGACACAAGAGAACCAGCTCCGTAAAGGCTCAAGGTTCTAAAGGACAGCTAAGAACAGATGGCCAGGGAGAGCACTCCAACCCCATGAACCTAGAAATCTCGATTTCAGGAAAATTAAATCAGCTTTGTGACCAACTAGCCCTAGAGATTCCACAGAGTCAGGCAGCATTTGGGGGTCTTCTCCTTCTCCTCCTTCTTTTTCTTACAGAGGAAGAGACTGAAGCTCGGGGAGATTACGTGATTTGTCCAGGATCACACAGCTGGGAGGTGACAACCAGGACCAAATGCGGAGCTCTTAGCTCTAATCCATGACAGCACGTCGACTTCACACGGTTCTAATTGAGAATTGCCATCTGGACCTGGCAGCTCCAGATGCACACACATGGACCACAGCAGTAAAGCTCGCAGTGTGGAAACCTGATGCTGAATCTCCTGCCTCCTTCCTACAAGCCTGGCCAGGCAGCTGTGGGGAGCAGAGGCTACAATCAAAGGGCCAACTCCTAACTTTTCTTTAGTGTCCTTTCCTTCTTCCTGTTGTTGGTAGGTGCTGTGCAGTCAGAACCGACTCAGAGCTGACCCTCCAGCAGGTTCGCAGAGGCTTTGCACAGGTGGAGACTGCCCATCTTTCTACCTTGGAGCAGCCGATGGATTCAAACCTTTTGCCTTTGGATTGGCATTGGAACTCCATACCTGTAGGCCTCCAGAGTTCCTCTCCTCCTTGCTCCTTAAGAAACAAAAAGATTTGCCTTCAAATTGGTTCCAGCTCATAGTTACTGCACATTGGTCAAACAGGACTGGACTCTAGGAGGTTTAGGGTGACTAACTGGTTTTTGGGGTTTTTTACTTTTTATTGAGATTTTAATGAAAGTTTATAAAGAACTTGGATTTCCATTCACTATTTGTCACATATTTTCCTCCCTACACTCCTCCTCCCGGTTTGCTTTTTTCTTCGGAAAAAAAAATTCTTTCATTGTTATACAGTCCGTTCCCCCTACCAAGACGACTTTACTGTGCAGCTTTTATCCTGGACACTTGTCATGCTAATAATACCTAATCATATATTCCTTTTATACAGTTCTTTCCCTTGTCTGTTTCAATGCCATTATTTATCCCCTATTTTCTTAGTTTTCCCCCAACCACCATGTCAGTCCTGTTTTATAACAGTGGTTTTATGCAGTATTTGTCTTTTTGTGAGAGATAGTTCACTCAGCATAATATCCTCCATTGTCACCCATTTTGTATAATATTTAATGAGTTCTTTATTTTTTAGTGCTGCATAATATTCCATTGTGTGAATAGAACACCGTTTCTCTACCCATTCATTTGTTGATGGGCACTTGGGTTGTTTCTAGCTCTTTGCTATTGTGAACAAAGCAGCAATAAACATGGGTGTACATTTATCTGCTTGCGTTGCAGTTCTGGTTTCTTTAGGGTATATTCCCAATGGTGGAATCCTGGGTCAAATGGTATTTCTATTTCCAACTTTTTGAGAAAGTGTCGTACTGCCTTCCACAGTAGTTACACCATTTTACAATCTCAACAACAGTAAGTAAGGGTTCCAGTTTCTCTGCAACCTCACCAGCATTTGATGTTGGCTGCTGTGTTGAGTTTTGCTATTCTTACTGGGGTAAGATGGTATCTCATAGTTGTTTTGATTTGCATCTCTCTTAGAGCTAGAGATTTTGAACATTTCTTCATGCATTTGTTTGCCATCTACCTGAATGTCTTCTTTGGTGAAGGTTTTTGGGTATGTTTTTTGGTGTTTTTTTTTTAAGAAGTAGATAGACAGGCTTTTTATCCAAGGTGTCCATGTGTGGACTTGAAACTCCAACCTTCTGGTTAGCAGCTGAGTGTGTTAATCATTCGTACTACCCAGGGATACTTCTTTCTGTTTCTTTCCTTCCTATTCTATCACTTCCATTTTCAAGTGTCTCCCCACCTCCTAAACTCCATCATGGTCCAGGCACTAGATTTGTCAGGATTAAAAGTTGGTGCAGTCCTGAAGAGATTGCGTGGAGTTGGGGCTTCTCAAACTTGACCCAAACAGGATAGTTTCATTAGGGATTCTTGGGTACTTACCCAGCCGAGACAATACAGTCACATCTTCTTCCGTACAGGAATCAGGAACACACACGCCCACACTGTATTCTGCACCATCCTATGAAACACAACACCAAGCGTGCTTTCATTTCAGAGCCTGGAGCATGTGTGCAGGTTATTTCTGTAAAGTTGGTCGCTGTACAACCCATAAATCAAATAGACTGGGAGAGTGGAGAGAAAGATGTTTGGAAAAAAGGTTTTCCAATTTCTTCAGGGATGGATTTTCCATCACAGAGTGATACAAGTGAGTTTCCAAAACACCAGATGCACTTATATTAAAATAAAATGAGCTCTGGGGCGGAATGTGGCTTGTTACTTAAAAAGCAGCCTCCAGTTCTGAATAATTGGCCACAGTTCAGTAAAGACTAAGAAGAGGTTGATCTCAATCTGCATGAAGAATTGGGCATCAGGATCAGACGAAGTCTCATTTAACAACCTGAAAATGCAGATAAAGGAGCTCCAGTGGCATAGTGTGTTAAGTATTTGGCTGTTAATTGAAAGGTTGATGGTTCAAATCCACCAGCTGCTTTTTTGCTTATCTTTCTCCTATAAAGCAGCTGGTGGATTTGAATTATGTATATTTACAGTGACAATTTGATTCCTTATCAGTAAGTCATCAGAGCTCCTCCTTCTGAAGCCATAGATAGCTTTTTATTTTACATTTATCAATTTTATATTTCAGTATATTTATATCCTTAAACTTTTCTTATTGTTCCCTGAACAGGATATTTTATTTGTTTATGTTGTGTTGAGGCCATAGAGCTTAACAGTAGCAGACTGCTTTACCCTTCTCCCATGGAGTGACTGATGGATTCATACTGCCATCCTTCTGGTTAGTAGTTCAGCACATAATGCACTGCCTTACCAGAGTTCATTTCAGTAGAGAATTTGCAAAAAAGAGGAAAACCCACAACAAGACAGACTGACTCAGGGACTCCAACAATGATGGGCAGGGCCATGTTGAGTGGTGTCTGCTATACTCAGAGATGCCATGATTCAGAACTAACTCGACAGCACCTAGCAGCATGACAACAATGAGAATCGGCAGTCCAGCCATTTTCAGTTAATTGCCCAGTCACTGTTTCTTGATAGCAGGATGCAATGTAGCAAGCAAAGATTGTAACAATAAATCAAGCCAATAATTAGAACGTCTCTCCTGATAAAGCAAAGATCAAATTATAACTAAAGTTTGGGGGGGTTGATGCTTTGAAACACAGAACTTAATGATTGTGTATGTCTGACCTTTAGATCTGATATCAAAACCATTAATCTGCTTTTGAAATAGGAGATAAAGTTCTTACACACTGATTAAACCTCCGAGCAATCATCACTGGAACCCTCAGGTAGGTCAAATATAATCAGTCTGTCCCCAGTGGTTAACTGCAGCAAGGTCATTTTATAGCATTAATATCAATCTGGATTTCTTATTATCCCATGCAAATGTGCGATGCCCACTAGTATTTTTGTGGCATGCATAAAAATCTCTGTATTTATTAAGGGTCTGTGCTGTTCCTACTTTTTTCTGACAATAAAAGGATTAACATGCTTTGAAGATAGTGAGTACTGTGATTTTATCCAACCAATTTAGTAACATATTCCTAGAAGCCACGGACCATTTACTGGGGTAGTCTTGAATGCTCATGGGAAAGGGGCTCTGAGTAATAATGGGAAGTCCATCCTCCCACTGTCATTCCCAAAATTGATGGTGAGTTGGGACAAGTCAGTGCTCGGCAATAGTGTTCCAAGCTTCTTGGCTTGGTCCACCCTGTTCTAAGCAGTGCTTTGTTCCTAGATGGTGAAGATTCAGAGGAGAGGGTCCATCTGAGAAGATGGTGAGAACCCATAAAACCTCAAATAGAGGAAGGTCTACAACGGATCCTGGGGCAGGTGGAGTTTGAGAAGGATGAGCAGAAGAGAGCCGCTTGTTCATGACCCTAATGAGACCAGTAGAATTAGATGATTGCCGGCCATCACAGTAGAAGGTTCTAGATAAAGTGGGCAAAACATGGGCAACAAAACTCAAAAACATAAAACAGTCAGACTTATTCATCTTATAGGGACTAGTGGACTCCTGAGTATGGACCATAGTCACTCTTTGAATCTGGAACAAAACTCACTTCTATGGCTCAACTCTTAGTCAAACAACAGACAGTCCTATTACATGAACAATTATACCAAGAAGACAGTCATTCCCTAGAAGAACCAATCGTACAAGGTCAAAGGGCAGCAGATGGCCAAGAATAAAGCCCCAGAATAAAGGCAGAAGGGATAAGATAGAAAGATCCATGGAAATAAGACCCACAGGAAAGAAATTTAAAAAATGTGGTTGCATGGTGAGTGCTATAATTAATGTCATAAAACAAAGTGTGTACAGATGGTTGATTGGAACGTGAGCTCTGGTGGGGTAGTCCACAGCGAGCTGGGCTGCTAACTTTAAGATTCCAAGTTGCCAGTGGTTCAAATCCACTGAAGAAATACAAGGGAAAAAAAATGAGTCTCTTCCCTTTGTGACTGACAGCCTCAGAAACCCAGGGAGGGAGGGTCACTATGAGTGGAAACCAATTCAAAGACAGTGAGTTGAGTGAATGAGTGTGGTTGATTAGGAAATCAAATCGCTTTGTAAACTTTCATTCAAATCACAGTAAAATGAAGATGAAGGAGAAGAAGAGGAGGTGGGAGAGAGTCATTCCCGTACTCAAAGATCCTGCCCAGGAACTTGTTATAAGCCACCAGCTGGGGTCCTGGATTCTACAGGACAGTGGACCCAGGAAGTCCAGCCCCAGCCCCAGCCCAAGTAGAAGTGAAACATCTCAAGCAAGCCCTGTGGCATCACCTCAGCCCAGACAGTTCGGAGTAAGATAGTTTCCAAAAATCACCTCAAATTTAGATTTAGCTTTTTGCAAAACATCTCTGTTGTTATTTGCCATCAAGTTGGCCATGACTCATGGTGACCCTACGAACAACAGATCTGAACCTCGTCCTATCTTGTGCCATCCTCACAATCACTGACACGCTCAAGTTCATTGTAATTACAGCATTGATCCATCTTCTTGACCCTCCACCTTTCCTGGGATGATGTCTTTTTCCAAGGACTGGTCGCTCCAGACAACATGCGTAAAATGTGTGAGATGGAGTTTCACCCAACTCTCCTCTAAGGAGTACCTTGGCTACACTTCCTCCAAACCAGACCTGTTTGTTCTTAGTGGATTCTTTTAATTAAGAAAAGCAAGCAAATGCAACAATGAATGAATGGAAATCCAAAGTCTCTAAGTTTTCATTGAAATGAATAATAAATTAAAAAAAAAAAACAACAAAAAAGAAAAGAAAAGCAAGCAATGGAATATCACAAAGAACAATCCCTTGTGCTTCAGGAGCATTCCTGGAGGTCCCCACAACTCACCTGCAGGATGTGAACCTTGCAGTACTGCCCTTGGAAGCGCCCCATGGGAGCACGAGTGGAGAGGCATTCGCTGTAAGAGCCCAGTCTGTCCATGTTTCCACTAAGAACATTGCTCCCCAGTTTGCCAATGGCATCATACACTGGAAGTTAAAGCAAAAAAAGGTTGTCAAATCGGCTTCCATGTGTCACTCAAATGACTTTATAGATATTCAGTGACCATGTTCCTTCTCCCACTCAAAATTCTTGCAAGATAGTGCAGAGTCCCCGAAGAGAAGGGATATTTAACAGATTCAAAACTTGGGCAACTGTATTCCTAGTACTTTTTGTCTTATCTTTTTGGCATGTTATTACAGGAGAGGCCAGTCTTTGGAAGGGGACATCGTGCTGGGAAAGTTGGAGGTCAGAGAAGGAGCAGAAGACGACCTTCAACAAGACGGCCTGGCACAGCGACTGCAATGATAGCTTGAACACAGAGGAGATATGAGGCCGGCACAGCATCAGGCAAGACCTTGATCTGTTGTACGAGGGTTACGGTGAGTTGAAGTCAACTCGACGCCACAAACAACCACAACAATATCAACATCAACAGACAACAGCTCTTAGAGAGGAAACTCCAAGTGGCCAGTAAGCAGGAGAAAGTGCTTCTGCTTCACCAACGAATAATCATGAGAGACAAACGTTTTCAACGATCTCCTCCCCTGTGATTTACAGCCTCCTGAAGACCAACTGGAAGATCAGCTATGAGTTAGGTTCAACGTGACAGCCGTGAGGTGAGTTGTGGAGTAATTGATGACCATTTAGAAGTCTGATTATGTGTTGGCAAGGACAGGCTGAATGAGCTGTGGTGGGACAGTGCTTAAGTACTTGACTGTTACTCACAAAGCAGGCACTTGAACTCACTCACCCAACGCCTTCATGTGAGAAAGTTCTGGCGGTCTGTCCTGGTGAAGATTCCAGCCTGAGGACTCCTTTGAGGCCGTTCTACTCTATAACTGGGGTCTCTATGGGTCAGAACTGACAACAGAAAAGGAAGAAATGCTTCTCTTAGGTTGAATTTCTAGAATCCACCCTCTCATGTGATAGTAACTAGATTATCTTTTTCAGAATTCTCTCTCTCCAGTTATAAGTCAAAGGGCCCTGGTAGTGCAGTGGGTAAGTACTGGGCTGCTAATTCAAAGGCTGACTGATCTGAACCCACCCAGCAGCTCTACGGGGGTGGGGGATGAGGGGGTGGGCGGGAAGCAGGGAAGTCCTGGATAAGACTCATAGCGACCCTATGAACAGCTTATGTGAACCCTGTCCTGTCCTGTGCCAGCCTCATCATCTCTGCCACACTTGAGCCCATTGCTACAATCACTGGGTCAACCCATCTGGTTGAGGGTCTTCCTCTCTTTCACTGGTGCTCCACTAATATAAAGACTAAAGTGGGCCTGACCCAAGCCACGATATTTTCAATTACTTCCTACACATCTGCCGGTTGGACGATGGAGAAGGATGAAGAAGAAGAATTGATGCCTTTGAATTGCGGTGTTAAAGAAGAGGACCGACTATTCCATGGACTGACTGCCAAAAGAGCAAGCAAGCCTGAATTTGAGGAAGTACAGTGAGGTACTCCTTAAAGGCAGGAACGAAGAAACTTTGTCTCACATACTTTGGATATGTCATCAGGAAGGACCAATCCTTGGGAAAAGGCATCATGCTGAGAAAGACAGAGTGTCAGAGAAGGAAAGGAAGCCCCTTAGCAATCTGGCTTGACACAGTCACTGTAACAATGGACTTCAGTGTATCAGAGACGGTGAAGATGGATAGGACAAGAGACAGATCACGGGGTCGCTAGGAGATGTAGCAGACTTGAGGGAACCGAACAACATTCTTCAGAAACAAGTCACCGAGCCTTTCTCCCTTGTCTGGCTTAGGCTTGAGACTCTGCTGACACCTCTCCACCATGCTGCTGGTCCTTGAAATACTGGTAACTTATCTTCCAGCAACACAGCAACTTGCAAGCCACCGGAGGGTAGCTAATTGACAGACAGGTGGTGGGAGGGTGTCTAGACTTCTAGGAAACACTCTGAAGGGTACAGACAGAGCAATATCCAACTCTTACTTGGGAAGATGAATTTCTAGCTGTCTTCACAATTGGCAGTTTGATTTGTAGACAGACTGGATTTATGGGGTTGTTTGGGTTTGGGGGTTTTTCCCAGCTGAGGTCACTTGGCATTTGCTTCCTCAGTGGTGTTAAACTCAGACGGACAATTTACACTTTTCCAACTCTGCTCTTAATTAGTTTCTGTCAAGAATCTGCGCAAAGCAGGGTCACAGACGCCACTGAAATGCAAAGGATTGCCGCCAATGATTAACAGCAACCTCCACTTCCCGTCACGTGGCAATCATCCCAAATTGTCATTTTCAAAGGATTAAAAACAACTCATTTCAATTCTGCCAGGCTAATTGGCAAACAGATTTTCTTTCTCACGTGGTAACAATGATGTGTGGATATTAAAATGCAGAGCCGATTTGTTTCTGGGTTTGAGGGGAGGAAATAGAGACCTTAGCCTTACATGTGAAAATTATGGATACATTTACAGTATGAAACAGACCGTTCTGGAATTCTTGGCCAGAATTAGAATAAAACATGTGAATGCTAGAACCTGAGGAAGGTGAAAGCACAGACTACTATTTCATACTAACAGGCAACAAGAAAATGAGAAGACAGAAAGCATGTGGAACAAAAGAACAGGCCCTGCCTGCTCCGGCTTACACAGGTTCCACTGGTCGTGGTCCTCGCTCTAGAGCTGATAGCCTGGGCAAACAGGTAGAACAATAACTCTGTTCCAGACATAGCCCTGTTGGGAGATCCCAACCTGATGTCAGCCAACCCCCCGAGGCAGGATGGAGTTTGGGAATTCATGGCAGTGCCCCATGTCTGGTCAATTTTGTTAATCTTGGATTTAGAGAATACAAATGGCACAGCTATTCCTTCCTGTGGTGCATTCTTATGATTGACACAATGATTGATGCAGTGTAACTATCCTATGTGTTGTAAATCCTAACTTCTATCATGTAAATGAGGCAAGATAAGAGGCAGTTGTGTAATATTATGATCGTCCTCTAGTCTGCTATATGCGACATATCCTAGGGGTATGATCTACCTTGAATATATATAAGGACCCTGGCAAAGCTAGCTTTTGGCTTAATCCTACATCCGGATCGTCACCTCTGGACTTGAACCAGCAACCTGGCATATTGGTCGACCTTGGATGATTTGTCAGCCACTCCACATGTCTTTCTCCTCATATCTGGCTCAGAAACTTGGGACTCCACGACATCTAACAACAACAGTAACAACATGTGTACCTGACAGAGCTCTGATGGCCTAGTGCTGAGAAGCTGTAATTAAAATTCATCAGCTGTTCAGTGGGAGAAGGATGGGCAATCTCCTCTCATGCAATTTACTGCCTCTGAAAACCCATTGGAGGGTCAGCTACAGGCCTATTCCCACCTGAGGGCACACAACAACAACAACAACAATATGTACATGGGCCATTTCTTCAGTTTAAAGACTAAGATACACCTGACCCAAGCCAAGGTATTTTCAATTGCTTCCTATGAAGCTGAAAGTTAGACAATGAGTAAAGAAGCCTGAGGAAGAATTGATGCCTTTGAACTGTGGTATTTGAGAGGAGTGTTGAATATCTCATGGACTGCCAAAAGAACAAATATATCTGTCTTTGAGGAAGTACAAACGGGGTGCTCCTTGGAGGTAAGGACAGTGAAATTTCATCTCACATACTTTGGGCATGTTATCAATAGGCACCAGGCTTTGGAAAAGACATCACGCTGGAAAAGGTAGAGAAGAAGACCCTCAAGGAGGTGGATTGACACAGTAAGTGCAGCAATGAACTTGAGCATGGCAGAGATTGTGAGGGTGGCAAAGATAGGATAACATCTCAAACTGTTGTTCATGGGGTTACTATGAGTCATGGTCAACTTGATGTCATCCAATAACATCTATCTATTGTCTATCTATCCATCCATCCATCCATCTATCCATCTACATATCCATCTATCTATCATCTACTTATCTCCAAACTTCCTGGTGTTGCCTCTCTGGAAAGGCCACCCTAAGATGCCCCCCTTCTCTGAATGCACCCCATGCTAACCCTCCTCTAAGGCATCCGCTGTGCTGAATTCGAAGGCTCTCATTCCTGGTCCTCTCATTCCACTTGCACTACTGACATTTCTCTCCCTCCACAATAATATCTTAAATTGCATCCATTTAAATTCTGCATGCTGTATACATTCTCCTGCACATTGATTTCTTTTCCTTGATATTATTTCTGGACGGCCCCATGTCGGTACATGTTGCCCTCCTTCATTCTTTTTGGCTGGTAATGGGAGTGGAATTTCCCCCGTCTTATTTCTCAGGTGGCTTATTTCAGGCAGTGATTGAAATCCAGACTCTGGAATCCACAGGCTGGATGGAAATCCTATCTCCACCACTTACACCAGGGAAGCTACTTTATATCCCTGTGGCTCAGTAGCGTCGTTTCGAGATGATCATGACACCCCACTGGCCAGCTGTTGTTATGATTGAATAAAAGACAACTGCTTGAGAAACGGTGCACGGAAATGTGCTGACATCACACGGCACTAAAACACTCACCAAAAACTGACAGTTATTGCTTCTCTGTCCACAGGGCCACCAGGAGAGCCATGCTGAGTCCCAGTGTCAGACCACTGAGTTCAACAACGTCAAACACAATGTAAACAACAGGACTCCAGAGATCTAGTACATCCCGTGTAAACCAGTTCAAACAGCCGTGGCTAGTAACACTCAATATAAACTCACTTACAAAGTGGGCATGGATCCCTGTGTGTCAATCATTCCCTTCTTTCTTGGACCAATGTATTGTGGGGAATTTTTTTAAAGTAATAAATCATTTCCACCTTCGGACACCTGGAGATGGAACCCCTGTGTGTTGTCCTGTCACATGGGGGTGTCCTGCATGTTGCTCTGACGTCAAGTCTCATACCACTGGTGTGTCACACACCAACGGGGTCACTCATGGAGGACAGACTTCAGCAGAGCTTCCAGGCAAAGACAGACTAGGAAGAAAGTTCTGGCAATTGACTTCTGAAAAATTAGCCAATGAAAACCAGAATGAACTAGAGGCTATGTATTTTGCCATGGTTTCATAAAATACCAGGACAGCTAACCAAGTGAAGAGTAGTTCTGTCTTCAAGTTATCTGCTACTTTGAATGGCCTGATATGAGTTCAAATTTTTTTTAATTAATTTTAATGAAAGTTTAGAGACTTAGGGTTTCCAGTCATTCATTGTTGCACTTCTCTCCCTACCCACCCCCTCCCCCCAATTCACTCTTCTCCTTGATAAGTAAAAGAAAAACTCTTTCAATGTTATGTAATCCCTCCCCCCAAATCCACTCCACTATGCAGCCTTTATTCTGGACTCCTGTCATGACAATAATATCTAATCATATATCCCTTTTAAACAGTTCTCTCCCTCATCTGTTGCAATGCCGTATACAACGTGAGTTCAAATCTTCATGATGCTACTAAATATAAGTGTTTGCAACACAAAATAAATTAGTCAGGCGTTCAGAAGGCCAGCAGAGGTTTCTCTGTTCCTTGTCCTGGCTTTAGGAGTATAACTATGTACCTTTTTCTTTTTCCCCATGAGACTTTTCCATCAGCATCAGAAACAATCTCTGGAAGAACTGGTCACTCCATGCAAATCACATCAAGTGTCCAGCCCTTTTCTGGCAGGAAGGCACATGCCCCTTTAGTTGTGAGAATGAATTTTGAAACGTAACAAAGAACAGATTCTGGTCTCCTGGAGTCCATCCATATCACTTACAAAGAAGTTTGGCTACCCTCGGAGTTTACAGCAAAGCCCAAGCCTCGTTTTCTGAATAATGCATCAATTCAGTATAAAAAGCAGACTAAATATCTAGAAAATAGCAGAAAGCAGAGCTATCTCCTGCAACAGTGAAATGTTACCAGCTTTAATAACCACAAACAGCATCACACAATTTAGAAACGGTTCTCATCTTATTAAGAGATTCGTCTTCCTGCCGGTCTTTCTGGCCAGAAACCACTTCTTCTCTTGCCTGCTGCCACAAAAGTTTCTCCTTCCCCCGACACCTGCTGCCATTGGAAAATGAGGCTCACCTTCTCCTCCAATTAGACACTGTGGTTTTAACTCTCAAGAGTTTTTCTAGAACATTCCTTGCAAGAGTAACTGCATAACCTCAGATGCTGGTTTCAGCACAGCGTCACCTACAACAGGCCAGGAAAGCCAACTTACTTTTCAGAGCATATTCATTGGGCTCTTTTGAATTCAGATCAGAAAGGAACGCCTCCACGTCTTGCTTGCACTTGAAAGAGGTGTTTCTTGTGGGGAAAACAAAGGCTAATTGACACTGAAAGGCGAGCAGGCGAAGAAGCAGAATGGAGACCATCTTGTGCCTTAACCAGCCAGCATGTGCCACCCTTCTCAGACCAAGAGCCTTATATCTACGCAGCACGCGCCTGCAACGTGTGGGGGGAACATGACATTTCCTGCTCCTTAACATGCTGGAGTAAGCTGGGTTTCCTAAGCCACCTGCAAAGCGGCCTAGATGGTAAACCATGGAAACCCATTTATATCCGACTCGTTATTGCTGAATAAAAGATCTCTCTGGATGGGGCCGCGGACCACCTGGCTCCTTTTGGTTACGCAGATTAACATTTCCAGCCAACACGAAGAAGTCTGGATTTTCTTTCTTTTAATAGCTATGTGTTTGGAAAAAATAGCAGGGAGGTGATGTGGCAGCATTATTTTTTTTTTTGGTCCAGGAATGATTAAGACCCCAACCTTGAAGACACTACTCTGAGAAATGATGAGCTGGGCTTCTCTGAGATGGCTTGGCTAGTTTATGCATCTGTTGACGTGGTTGCTGGCTTTGAAGGTGACGCAGTATGTTTTGGGTTTTTATTTTCTTTTCTTCTATTATTTTGTGTGTGTGTGTGCTGTCAAATAGGATCTGACTGGTACAAGAGGAGACTGCCCCTCCTTCTCCAGCAGAGCATCTGGTGGATTCGAACCGCGCACCTCTAGGAGTACAATGCAGCTTCTTGCCACTAGGCCACCAGACTCCCTGACACAGTATGTTTTTACATGCATTTGAGTCTATTTGGACTTCCAGCAACCTTTACATCAGAATGAAGCATTACCTGGTCCTGCACCATCTCACTATTGTAGTTACGTTTGACCCGCTGCGTAGTCACTGTTTCTGTTCATATTGTTGACCGTCTTCCTCTTTTTCATGAATTCTGTATTTTACCAAGCATTATGTCCTTCTCCAGGGACTGGTCCCTCCCGATAACACAGCCAAAGAAGTCTCACTCTCCTCTCTGCAGAGGAACATTCTTGTTCTTCCTCCAAAACAAATTTGTTCTTTCTTCTGGCAGTTCATAGTCAATATTCTTTGCCAACCCCACAATCCAAATGTGTCAATTCTTCAGTGTTCTCTTTTTATTATCCAGCTTTCATAAATATCTTAGATGGTTGGAAATATCCTGGCTTGGATCAGGCACACCTTAGTTCTCAAAGTGACATCTTTGCTCTTTAACATTTTAAAAGGGTTTTTTTGGAGCAGATTTGTCCAATACAATAATATATTGTTTGGTTTTTTGAGGGCTGCTTCCATGAGCTTTGATTGTGGACCAAGTACAACAAAATTCGTGAAACTTCAGTCTCCTGTTTTCCATGATGCTGCCAATTGGCCGACCCCGTTGTGAGGACTTTTGTTTTCTTTGTGCTGAAGTGTAATCCCTGCCATTATTTTTATATTCTGACAATCAACTCTATTTTGAAGAGGCAGCTCTTCCCCAGTCATATTTCGAGAATCTTGTGCCACTATGTCAGGTAACGTCCTGCTGTTATTCATAAAATTTCCACAGGCTCTGTACTTCAGAAGTAGATGGCCAGTCCTGCTTGTGAATCCATCTTGTGCATGTCCATTGTGGGTGTCCCTGCTGATATTTGAAATATCAGGGGCATAGCTTCACATAAGCCACCACTGTGGGATGGTGACAAAGTGGCAGATGAGTGGTGGCTTCCTCTGTGAAGGTGCTCAAATGCTGATTAGATATCTAATGGGTGTGTTAAAGGAGAGATGGGGAATCAGAACACGGCCTTTGTCCTGAATTGCCTTCAAAGTCTCCCCTAAGAGAACCTCAGAGTCTACCTTTAAATTTCTATTCTTAAAGTATTGGCAGTTATTAAACTCCCCCAGGAAATATATAAATTGGGAGGGAAAGGAAGACAGCATTCAGTTTAGAAGTATAAAGACAAAACAACAACTTAAAGTAAACACTCCCCAAATAAACAACCAACCAACTAATTGCTATCAATTCAGAACCAACTCATAGCTGACCTGGCAGTAGGTTTGTTGTTGTTGTTGTTGTTGTTGTGTGTGTGTGTATGTTTGTTTTGTGGGTTGTTGTTGGTTTTTTTTTGGCAGTAGGTTTTTAAAGACTACATATCACATAAGAGGAGACTGCCCATCTTTCTCCTGGAGAGCACCTGGTGGATTCAAATCATCTACCTTGGGGTTGGCAGCACAACTCCCTCCTGACAAGGCCACCAGTGGTCCGAGGGAAGGAGCCCTCAAAGTGCCTACAACAATGAGGTTGAGCAGAGCAGCGGCGGTGAGGAAGGTACACTGTTGGGTTCTGTTGTCCAGAATGAGCCTGAACTGACTTGATGGCATCTAACAAATTTGACATTAGGGTCTAAGTCCAGGCTCCATCACAGGCTGGTTCAATCTCCTCACACAAAACCACCACAACAGCCCACCTGCCAGAGTTATTCAGTCGTATTAAAATAAAGCTGAAAACAAAAAAGGACTGTATCGACTCTCAAGTCGTAAACAGATATTAATTAGCATTAGAAGGAACATGAGTGGCTGAGTGTTATACGTTAAGCTGTAGATTGAAAGGTCAGTGATTCGATTCCACCAGCTGCTCTGGGGAGAAAGATGAGAAGTCCACTCCTGCAAAGATTTCCAGATGCCTGAGGGAAGGTTGCCGTGACTGAATCAACTCCATGGCAATGGGTGGGCTTGGTTTATTAGCATGAAGGTAACCTCAAACTCAAACTCATTGCCTTCTAGTTGAATTGACTCCTTGCTGACCCCCCAGGGGACTTTCTGAGGCTGTAAATCATAGGAGCATCTTTCTCTCATGGAGCAGCTGGGGACTTGAACCCCCAGAGAAGGCTCATCTTGGAGTTAGTAGCACAACGCCCTATGGACTAGAGCGTTTAGAACCCAAGACTCCAAGCAAGTCTCCCAAAGGCTTGATTCTTTTTCTATGTTTCAAAAAGGGGAGAGGGATTGGAAAAGCTAGAGGCTTAGATTATTTGAATATTTAAGAGTGATTAAACAAAGGGAGCTCTGGTGGCCTAGTGGCAGGAAGCTGTACTGCAATCCTAGAGGTGTGCAGTTCGAATCCACCAGATGCTCTGCTGGAGAAGGAGGTTCAATCTCCTCCAGTACCAGTCAGATCTGATTTGACGGTACACACACAAAGATAATAAAATAAACAAACAAAACAAAACAAAAAGAGTGAGTAAACAGAAAAACTCTGCAACAGGCATTTGTTATTTCCATCTGTTGTCAAGGTTACAGTCACTGGAAATATGTCTGATACTGTGATAGTGCTTTCCATCAGCTGGGGAGAAAAAAATAATGATACAGATATGCACTCACATGTTAACTGAGTAATAACAACCAGTTAAATGTAATTTTTAAAATACCTGGGTGAGACTCCTAGGGCTGTTGTAACAAATTGCCACAAAGTGGGTGACTTCAACCATGAGTGCATTCTGTCCCAGGGTTGGACGCCAGAAGTGTGAAATCAACATGTCTTCAGTGTCTCATTCCCTGTGAAGCCAAGTAAACTTCCTTACCTGTTTCAGGCGGCTGCCGGCATCCTTTGGCATTCCTTGGCTTGCGGCTGCATCATTTCAATTTCTTCTCCACCTTCACATGACCTCCTCCCCTCTGTGTTAATCTCTTTCTATGTCTTCTCTCCTGAACACACCGGATCATCTTAATACCCTATTTGTAAAGAAGTCTCCTTCCACAGATACTTGGAGATTGCGGTTTCTGTTGTTGATTGTCTTCGAGTCAAACACAACTCATAGCGACCCTAGGAACAAAAGGCCTGAAGCTTCCCCTACAACTATTGACATTTATCAAAGTTCATGGAGTTTCCAGAGGCATACTGGAAGATTAGGACTGGAATATTCTATCTTTTGAGGAGAATATAATTCAACTCACTACACCATCTACATAAAAAGGAAAAAAAGAAAGAATTTTGCTTTTGGATAAAAAGTAGCGCAAGACCTTCTTACTGTTTGTTCTAACATCCAGGAAATAATAACTAATTAAAGTTCAAAGGAGTTCTGGTGGCAGAATCTGTAAGAAGCTGTGCTGCTAATTCAAAGCCCACACCTCTCTAGTGGTGTGAACCCCCCAGCAGCACTGAGGAAGATGGGCAATCTCCTCCAGGCAATTTACATCAGAAACCCAATGGAGGGTCAGCTGTACTTTGGCTCAAGTTGTTTTGCAAATCTATTTTAGGTGCCTGTTTAATGCAAGACAGTGTGTTGGGTATAAAAATAGAACCTGGAAATAAGTAACACCTTCATTGCTCAAAAGCAGACTTTTCTCAGTTCCAAAGGCAGCAGCAATCAATTAGCTGACTGTTAATAACATCACGTTTTATTCAAGTCATTAGCCCATGGGAAAGGAAAGGGCATCGGGTTTCCCATCATTTGCCAACAGATCTGTGAAAACAAGGATTTCTCTTTGCTGACAGGAATAAGGACCAGCCTGTCAGGAAAGTGTTACTGGTACCTGCTGCTTTCAGGGTGTGAGACGGAAAACCTTTCTCTCCATGAGAGGAAAGGTGACGAAGATGAGAGAGTGGGCAGGGAAGTCAGGTTAAAGCTTAGAACATTCATGCAGGAGACGAGAGCAAACAGACACTTCTGCTGACAGGCACGAAGCAGCGAAAGGTGAAGAAATGCAGAGTGAAGGGACTGGTGCCATTGGTGGGAGTAGGCATGCCAGGAGGTGGGAAGACTCTCCTCCCAGGTGACCTTGAGCCCACCTGAGAAGAATGAAAACACTCATTTTGGAAATAATAGTGGGGGAAGGCCAGGGGTGTGGAGTTTTCTAGGCAGGAGAAAATCCAATCCTGAGGCCCTGGGATGGGATGATGAAAAGGTATGAAGGGAACAAGAAAGAGTGAGTGAGAGGAGAAATGACCCTGGTGGTGCACTGCATGTTGTGTTGCTAACTGTAAGATCAGCGATTCGAATCCATCTCTTCATGAGAGAAAGACAGACAATCTTCTCCTATAAAGATCTCCAGCCTTGGAAACCCAGTGGAGGGTTTACCATGAGTAA